TTTTTTGGTTTTTTTCTCCGGTACCGGGAACCGAACTCACGACCTTGCGCTTGCCAGGCAGGCGCTTTTGCCGCTGAGCTAAATTCCCAGCCCCTGTTCAGTTTCTCTTATCATTTAGAATTTAAAAAGAAACATTTCCTTTCTTTTGCAAAATATTGTAAAATAGATAAAAAAAAAAATTAGAGAATGGGGATGGTACCCCCTTCCTTGCTTTCCTGTGTTCCCTGAGGTCTGGGAAGTCCTTTTCACACGGGAAATTGTCACCTCTTCTCACACTTTGCAACCTGCTAAGGAGGTAAGATTGCACGCAGAAAAACACCGTTCTCCAAGGAATTAGTAGACAGCCCGGAAACCAAAAGGGAAGCAATATTTCTTTCAGTAGTCCGAAAAGAAATCACAGTCTATTAAAAGTCCATGCTTTTTAACCTGTCTTGCTTTTTGTTTTTTACGGTTTTTTTTTTTTTTTTTTCCATTTGATTAAAGAGCTGTTCTACATAGGTCTGATTTACACCTCTGTTTTCCCTCTAGTATTTGGCAATGATAATATTCAGGGAACTCATGGGAAAATCGCTTCGCCTTTCTGGCCTGGAAACTACCCCCATCGTGCCAATTACAAATGGATAGTGAATGTGAATGTGTCTCAAGTTATCCGCGGTAGAATCTTGGAGATGGACATTGAATCGTCAAGTTCCTGCGTTTATGACAAATTAAAGGTGCGTCTTCTTGTGAATTATGTGTATGTAAATTTTGATGTATTACCAATCCAAATTAATGGCTATTCAAGCAATTGAAAAATGTATGGGATGGATGGTCTGCCCTAAATCAAGATTAGTGCCTATTCATTACCTGTACAAAGGTAATTCTAGTACCATTTATTATTTTCTATAGTGTGTTGAAAGATATTTTTGGCAGTATTTTACTTTACTTATTGGGCTTTGTCTAAGCATGAATGCATGTCCTAATTAAGTTTTTATCTTACTTCCCATTATCCTGTTTGCTCCCTTGTTCACATATTAAAGATTTAAAGGATCATGTAGGAGTAAATAAATATAAAAATTATAGTGAGTGTTGTCATCCAGACATTGCACACTCTATCAGTTCCAGAAACATTATCAGATCTCTGAAAGCCGGGACCCCATATTGTGCACCTGGTGTGCTCAGTGCCTTTATTCTGACCAGATCTATAAAAAAAAGTGTACAAAATAATTTGTACAAAAATAATTGCTACATAATTTTTAAAAATGAAGTTTAGTAGAGGATTTTATAACAAATATTGCAGTGAAATTGTTGCCAATTATTTCAAAACTACCACAAAGTGAGTCTCTAAATATGTAATTACCTTTTTTTTTTTTTTTTTTTTCTGGTACCGGGAATTGAACTCACAACCTCGCTCTCACCAGGCAGGTGCTGTGCTGCTCAGCTAGATCCCCACCCCGTAATTAACTATTATAAACCAAATGAAAGCAATTTACTGGGTGTTTTGAATGTGCTGAATCCTGTAAGCTGTAATTCTTGCACTGATTTTTCTTTCCTTCTGTGGAGATATGAACTCTTTCTGGATACCTATCCACTTCCTCTTGTAAACCTGCTCTCTCCTTTGCAGTTTTCCTTTTTTTCTTCTTAATTCCTCTCTTCAGTGCTCCAAAGCATATTATTAAATATTGTCATTGTGTAACTTAGGTTCCATTTTTCCACCCACAAATATTACTGTAAGTCTTTCCATATGCTATATCCTACAGAGGATTAATATAATTGCAGTAAAGGTGTACCAATCTTCAAACACCTGAAATTATTTGCAATAATATTTTGCATTTGAAAACATTTTCTGTTTTAAACTGAAGTAAAGCATTTGTTTATTTTTATTCCGATAAAATTGTACTAATACAAGGCATCTTTTAAGTGTTCTTTTTTAGGAAGAAAAATAGGGATAGCTTCCTATGAATAATGTTCTATTATCTCTTTTTTACATGCAGATTTATGATGGTGCTGACATTCATTCTCGCATAATTGGAACTTACTGTGGTACTGAAACTCAGTCTTTTAGCTCCGTGGGACATTCCTTGACATTTCAGTTTTTGTCTGATTCTTCAGGCTCAGGAAAGGGATTCCTTCTGGAGTGGTTTGCAGTAGACAGTCCCACTGGACCTGTACCTACCATTGCTGCAGGTGTGTTTGGTAATAAGTGAAACTCTGCTCGGGTCTGAAATGGGTAGGCAAACATTTCAACGGCCTCACTCACAAATACACAAATAAGGATGGGTAGGGCCCCCTGTATTCCTTCTTCTATAAGGTCAGATGTCTTTTCAAATTCCTAAATACTTACATGTTGTAAAAATATTATATTGTGCCTGAAAATGCAGGTTTTTCATTATATTTTCATGTAAAGCAGGTGTTTGCTAACCACAAGATATTTCTCTTATAATATCTAGAGATGATTTAAGAGCTCTCTGAAAGTTTGATTTGCAAATCACACACACACACACACACACACACAGTACTTAAGTATCAACTATTAGAACTATTTTCCCATAGGTTTTAAAATACCACGCATGAAAATTTTATCAAAACTAATACAGCTTAATATTTTAAAATATATTAGCATGTCATTAACATTCCACATGCACATATTTAATTTAATGTAATAAATATTTATTGAGGGAATATCATGAAGTAAGAGTCATAAACATCTAGAACCGTGACATACATACTTCTGAAAATCTATTCCTCTGTAAAAGTGATTAGAACACTGGCAAAAACTGTCAAAATCAACTCTGTGAGACCTCTAGAAATTGACCAAGGGCTAGGGATATAGCTCAGTGGTACAAGCTCCTGCCTGGAAAGTGCAAGGTCCTGAGTTCGATTCCCAGTACAAAAAAACCCAAAGTGAGCTGAAGTGTATTTATTAAAAAAAAATTGCAGTCTCAGTAAAAACAGTCAGTGATTTTTCTGTATGTCCATCTCCCTCAAACCCCCAGTTTTGGAGTAGCTTTACAACAGCTCCACAACCAAGATATCAGTGAACACCAGCTCTTCATCAGCTTAGCAGCCCTGGGGGTGGGGCGGAACTGGACTGGAGCTCCAGAACGCTTCCTGTCTCCATGGAGTTGCCGTTATTCGATCTGCCTGGCAGCTTTCTGCAGAAGTGCATTCTCACATCTTGTCTTCGTCTGACCTAAGAGCACACTCTGCTTAATATCCCTGTCTCTTGGGTGTTTTTGAAAATAATCAGTGGCAGAAGCTACATCACGATTGCATGAAGCAGTGATACCAGTAATAGCGGACAAGAAACCAAAAAAGGAGTGGGGAATAAAATGTCCATCTGGGGACCGAGGAAGTTCTGACATATTTCTGAGACTCTACAAAGCCATGCACATGTACATAGCTGTGCATATGCCCAAGAAAAGACCTATCAGGACTCTAATTTCTTGCCTTGTACGATCTTGAGTTGATATGAAAGTAGGAAGTAAAAGCTAAGGCAGAGTTGAGCACAAAGGAAAGACAGAAGCAGGAAACCTTCAAAGGTGTTGATTTCCAGATATTATTTTAGAAGCCCAATTTTCAACAAAAAATTACAAGACATTCAAAGAAGCCAAGACATTTGGTCCATGCAATGGGAAAAAAAGCAATTTAAAAAGTTGTCCCAGAGGAACTAAAGATATTTGACTTAATAAAGATTTTAAATTAGATATTATAAATATGTTGAAGACCTAAAGAAAATGATGTCTAAAGATTAAGGAAAAATAAGAAAATACTGTCTCATCAAATGTAGGTTATTGAAAATGGTAGGAAAATATTTTAGCACCACAAAAAAGGAATCACCTAGAAATTTCTGAGTTGTCTACATAAATATAAAAAACACTATAAATGTATTTTTGTTTGTAACTCTTCTTCTACCATATGATTTGAAAAGATCATTGAGTAAAGCAATACAGGTAATCTTCATTTAATAACAGAGTTCTGTTCCATAACTAGTAAATGAATTGGTTGCTAAGTGGAGAACTGTATGGAGTGTGTACATTGCAATATGCATAACAAAAAAATGGTCAAGGGAAACTCCAACCTGATGACATAGCTTTTGTTTGCATAACTCTTACATGCAGTACTGTAATGTGTAACAAACATAAAACTACAGAACTGTTCTGCACTGTACTATGCAATCAGCAAAAATTATAGTACTGTATAAACAAGGAGTACTCTTCCAAAGAAAGATATTGAGGCTTTACAAACAAAACAAAAAGAAGACTCTCATGCTGGAGCAGTGAACCCTAAGTCCGAATTGTCATTAAACAGGTAGATCGTTGAACAAGGAATGTCTGCAATTATAAAACTCTATCAGTAGGCTTATAATATTTGGATATATAATTTGATGACAGTCAATTTCATAAAGGGCAAGGAAGGAAGGAATAGGATTATATAGGATAAATATCTGTAATCTGAAAATCTAAAGTCTGAAATGATCTGAAATCTAAAATTTTTGGACACTGATGTGATGAGATTGTCAAAAAGCTTCAGAGAGCAGATTTTATATTTTCATTTTTAGGGATGCTCAGCTTGTGAAGTCTTTGCAAATATTCCAAAATCCAAATAACTGTAAAATCTGAAGTAATTCTGGTCCCTGGAATTTTGCATAAGGGACACTTAACCTGTATTATATTAGAGCAAAATTTTATAAATTATTTAAATTATTATAATCCAAGCTACCTTATTTAAATTAAATTAGTTATAATTATCAGAATAACCACTAAGAAAAAACCTGAGAGCATATAGTAAAATAAATAAGTAACATGTTATGCTAGAAAAGTATGTTTAATATTTATCAGGACAGGCAGTAATGAATTTTGGTGAAGATATAGAAAAATTGAAATTCTGCATTGCTGGTAGCTACTTTGTAAAACCTTAGTCCATCCCTAAAAATATAAACAGAGTTACCTTATTATTAAGCAATTCCTCTTAGTTATACCCTGAAGGGAATTAAATACATGCCCACCAAAAGTATATACATGAATGTTTATAAGGCATTACACATACAAAATAAAGAAAAAATGGAAACAAGCCAAATATTCATTAACTGAAAAATGGAAAAACTAAATGTGATAAATCCATACAATGGAATAGAATTCATCCTTTAAAATGAAATGAAGGAAACACTGATATGGACAACATACAGATAAACCTTGGTGCTGATAGGCTAATTATAGAGACAGAAACAGGATAGAGATGTTTCCAGGATTTGTTGAATGTCGTAAAAATGATCGAGATGTACAACTTAAAAAAGAACATTTCATAGTGTGCATGTTAAACTGCAATAAGCCTATTGCTGAAAGAATGTATGTATAGATAGTCCTTGTTTGACAACCTACTCATTTAATGGTTGTTCAAACTTACAACCAGAGTTCCTTGTTTGGACGTAGGACCTGTCCTTTTTTTTTCTATAGTCCTGTACCTCTTGTTTATACAACCTCAATTACTTTTTTTGGTACAGTGCATTTTGTTTATAAAATAGTATAATTCCTGTTGCTTGTACTGTACATTTCAGTATGGTAGGTCTATGTTCTGTTATGCATTAGGTTACTGCATGTAAGCGTTATGCAAATAAAAGCAAAGTCGTCAAGTTGGAGTTTCCTTCGACCATTTCTTTGTTCTGCATATTGAAATGTATACACCATACAATTCTTCATTTAGCAACCAATTCATTTGATGACCTGGTCAAAGGAATGGACTTTTGTACTTAAATGAGGGACAATTGCATTAAATATATATCTAAAAATAAAGGCTGAAATTTTGCTTCTGCTTTTTGAATTTTTCAGCTTATAAAAATGATTTCAAAATTACCTAAATAACATAATGAATAGCTCCACTAAGAGAAGTATGTGAAACAGGGTAATTGCTCAGACAGGTGAGGAGAATCCTCTACATGTATTATTCATGCTTAGCAGATAACCAGCATTCAATAATAAATAAGTTGTGTGATAAAATTATGGTGAAAAAGATCGTGATGTATTTTCCTGCCACAAAAGAACTTCAGAAATGATGGCTGTGTCAGTCAGTGAGTTTAATAAAATAATTACTGATTTCTTTGAGAAACTTGTTTCTATTGTTTGCTTGTTTGTTTGTTTTTTCCTACATAGGGCCATCACTTTAAAGTGAAAAAGTACTGATTGCTTTTCCATAGGAGTTATTTCCAAGATGTTGCTTTTCACTCCACAGGTGCCTGTGGAGGGTTCCTGAGGACAGGAGACGCGCCTGTCTTTCTTTTCTCCCCGGGCTGGCCGGACAGCTACAGTAATCTGATTCAGTGCACATGGCTTATCCAAGCTCCGGATTCTACTGTGGAATTCAACATTCTCTCAATGGACATTGAATCTCACCGAACCTGTGGCTACGACAGTCTTGTTATAAGAGATGGTGAGAAACATTTTAAAAGATATTATTTTTTAACTCTAACACACAGTTAATATTTAACTATCACCATACTTGCTTATTGCCTGTGTCCATTTTGTATGGAATTTTATAATACTATGATTCTCTGACGCTACTGAATACTGAAAATAGCTTCAGTTTCTGGGGATTGTAAGGCAAAAATTACATTGCCTCTCACAAAATGTCAAGAATATTGGAATGTCCCTAAGAAAAAAATAAAAGGTTTTTGAGAGGCCTAAGTAGGAGATAATAGTCTAAAATTTCAAATTATGCTACATTTTTTTTTTAAAAATGGAGATGTCTTGGAGATAAATGTTGACATTTGGTATCTATGAATTTAAGATCTTAGTGGAAAGGTCCTTATAATGGTGGTGTATTCCTTTCTTCTCATCCCCTGATCCTGTGGGTGGAGTAGGAAGTACAGAGGGGTGCCATTTCCCCACGGGTGCGCTGTTGTGATACAGTGACCCAGGGTCCTGGTCAGTGCTAACAAGAAACCCGTACAACACTACTTCACAGTTGACGTGGGCTAGAATGAAGAATGACCGCAGTGCTGTATCTTCCATGTTTGCAGATCCTTACTAAAAAAAAAAAAAAAGAAGGTGTGTCCCCATTTGGCCCATAGTTTATTAATATACAAAATCTGTCTCTCCTTGAGCCCGCTCATCCCTAGGTTGGTGAAGGTGCTTTATTTTCCATCATATGGCAGCTGGGTACTAAGTCTCATCTCAAACCAACCATATAAACACGATGAAATGAGAGACACTAACTTTCTCTATTTTTCTGTCACCAATCAGGTGTCAGCACTCTGACTGCTTCAGAACCATTATCTTTTCTGATGTTAAGACATTCCTGTGGATATTTAAGTTTTTAGGTAATACAATGAACATGTCCTTGCGCATATATGCTAAGTGGTCAGCATCCAGTAGAAACCTTAGAAACAATCCTTAGTAGGTAGTAGTATCGGTGAAGTAAGAGCTGTGATCAAAAAAATGAGGTGAATATCTGGATTTTTTTTTTTTTAACTTATTACAGTAAAAGACACATTGTTATTAATATTCTCTCTCACTTTGCACACACTTATTCCACATTTCTTGCCACTTTCTGGAGCAGTTCTGCAAGTCCTCACTCATGAGTGTTTTTAGTTGTGCTCCTGTGGCTGCGCTGATGTCTGAATTGACTCAAGATGTTAATCTTCACGGTCATTCTGACACGGGGGAAGAGCCAGAAACTGTGCGGTACAGTGCCAGATCAAGTGAGGGAGGTGAACCCAGACACGTCTTCATGTGTTTATAAGCTTGCCTTGCCATTGGATATATTTTTATTATGCCTGTAGAGACACCCACAAAAGAACACTTACAGAACTGCTTCAGAAAGTGGCAAGAATCAAGGGATAAGTGTGTTCCAGCGAGGAAGAGCATTTTCAGGGGGGATTACTGCCCATTGTCCTTTTCAGTAATACATTTTTAATGTAAACACCATATATTTTGATCACTCTTTGTAAATTATGGATGTTCTTCAAAAAACACATTCTGCTAAGTTGCTTTTTGTTCCATCAACTGCTTCTCATGGAAGCACAGACTCTAGAGAGCATTCCTGTCTTCTCTGTGACCTTGCAGAAGTCATTGCATGGCTCCAAGCCTGTTTTACTATCTATGAAAAGCAGAAGGATGCCCACCACATGGACTCTTTGTGCATGTGAGGGAAAGCAGTTAGTGCCAAATCGTGTGGCAGAAGTCTAAGTATTTTGCAGATGCAGAAATTAGAATAGTTTACATCGTGAATTACATAATAGACATTTCTAAGAGAGGTGTTACGAGTGTCCTTGCTCACTCAGATGTAGAGTGACTTGAAAGAGCTTAGCAAGTTGACATCTACACCAGAACAAGGATATTTTAGGTGGGTTGTGTTACCTATCCACATAGATTCCTTTTTAGTCACAAACATGAATGGATCCCCAATATGTTCATTCTTTCATATATTTTTATTTACTCATTCAAAAATAGTAAATAGTGCATGCTATGTGTCCATTGGTGAGTACTTTGTTCATTGCCTAGTATTAATATAGTTTTATAATTAAATCTTAAACTCCACTTCAACTATTCTCTTCCCAGTGAGTTGGGTTTTTGCTTCTGAGAAGCAGGGCATGTAACATTCTGAAGCAGATACCTAAAGCCGATTGGCCACAGGCTGTGACAGTTCTAAGCCATCCGTGCAATTGACCAATCGTCACAGACCCTTTGCGCTTGGCATAGAGGGACTGTGAACATTCCTGGCTTACCCAGCAAAGGTCATGCAGCACTCTGACCCAAAGCAAGTCATGCTTCCACTTGCTCATTTATGTAACAGAGTTGCTAAGCTTTAAAACTGAGTCAGTATCTTCCCAAGCGGTCACCCACAAATGTTGCATATCAAAGATTCCTCTAAACTGAGATTTCATGAAACTACAAGCGACCTAGAGAAAATTAAAAAGAGATTCAGTTTTCTTATCTACAAATGGGGATAATGATCACATCTAGCTGATAGTATTATTATGATGACAAAACCCAGAAATTATGTGTAAAACACCTGAAATGGAAATAGTTTAACAAATATCAGCCTTTCATGGTCTTAGTGCTGGAGTTTCCATGTCTCTAAAATGAGCAGGGTGGGCCAGAGACTCATAAAGTAACATTCCAACCCTGGTCTTCACAGTTCCTTTACCCTCCTCTTTATTTAAAGATCATTCCTTCTGCAGTGTATACATTAAGAATCTAAAGGTCCTAGAGATACCCCAACATTCAGTACAGAGACTGGAGGGTAAGAAACAAACCATCTTATAGTTACTGGGTTACCTACCAACTAATCAAATTATTAATCAACAAGTCATTATTTAGAGATAAGCATTAATTCACCAAGAAGTCTACAGGGAAGTTTAGAAAGTAAATCAAAGTCAATGGACCCAATCCAGTGTCACTAAAGGATGAAATATAAACTTGTGAAATAATGACATTAAGACAAACTTCAGCTGGCCATGGTGGTGAACTGTAAGCCCAGGGATCTGCGAAGCCGAGGCAGGAGGGTAGCAAGTTTGAGTCCAGCCTGGGAAGTTCAGCAACTTAGTTCCTGTCCCAAAAAGGGTGGGGAAGGACTGGGGATGTATCTTACTGCAAAGGCCTGCGGTTCAATCCCTGGCAAAACAATGACATACATCAAAGTGTCATAGTACAGATCATGAGGAAACACATCAAAAAATAACACTGGACAAAATGTGTAGCAAGATAGCATAATGAAGATATGAAGTTCAAAAGGAGCTTCAGAGGTAAACTTAAATAACTTAATTGTAAAAACCCAGTTCAAAAGTTTCCAGAGTTGAGAAACCCTCCTAAGAATGCCTCTGCACACAGCTTAAAAATATTTATATTTGTAACTATACCATTACATTCACAATCACAGAAATAGAAAATAACTCGTTTTCTAAAGTTAATAATAAATGCATTTTAAGTAGTGGTTTATGTTTAAAAGGAGCCAAGTTGTGGACTGTGTAAAAAGGCAAATTTCTTCATTTTTAAAATTCTATTTTTCTTTTTTATAAGTTGCACTTTATTAATTTTCTGCTTTACAGAAAACTATATATTTTCCCAGCTGAGGAATCCATATCCACCATGATCCACTTTGCTCCATTCCAGTCCTGGCAGCGATGGTGTCTTTGGTGGAAACATGTCCAAGAGAAGTGAAAGGGAGGAGGTCCATGGGGAGGCCTGGTTCCCCGGTGTGTCTCTCTCCAGAGGACACACTGCCTGAAACGCCCTTTCCGCATCCTCCACAGAAGTCTGTTCCTTTTATGCTACAACAAACAAAATATATATAAAAAAAAGTTTCAAAAACTCCCAGTGAGCTGCAGAAAGGGTCACATACACAACAGTTACGCACCTCTTAGTCAGTGGCCTCCTGATGCTAGTATAGGAGCTGAAGGTTAAAATCCACCTTTCTTCTCTCCTTCAGATACTTAACCTCCAGCACTCAGCGTAGCCAAGGTCAGAGTCTCTAATTAACACATATAAACACAGGGCCTTGATCACTTCCCAGTCTCCTGAACTCCAACGTTGAGATTTCATGCCAGGAAGCACTGGCAGCCAGTTTTTAGAAAGACCCTGGGAACTTTCCAAGGAGTCTTTATCAAAAAGGGTAAAGAAGAGTGCGGGCAAGCTGGAGCCAGCGGGTGGCAACCTTGTGTGCGCTTTGTGAGAATCCTCTTGTCTCCTAGGAGCTCCAGCGTCCTGAGAAAAATGTGTGTGCTACTTTGACCGGGCTGCAAATGATGGCGCGGTAGATGCTTAAGACATCGCATTTTCATGTTGATGTTTCCTTCTTGGTCACAGGAGACAGTGCCCTGGCCCCGCAGCTAGCAGTTCTCTGTGGAAGAGAGATCCCTGGGCCCATCCGGTCTACTGGAGAGTACATGTTCATCCACTTCTCCTCAGACTACAGCGTCACCAGGGCGGGCTTCAATGCGTCCTTTCACAAGAGTAATGTGTTCCGACAAATCTCCCCGCTCTTCTTCTCCCCTGCGCCCCTCCCCTCCCTATCTTTCCCTTTCCTCCCCTCCGTTCTTCTCCCTTCTCTCTTTTTTTCCTTCATCATATACTCTGCTCATTTTTCCATGCCAGGACACAGGTCAGAAGCCACAGGGCACAGAGCTCTGCCACTGCTGGATGCATTTCTGTGTCAAGTACTGAGTCCTGATGCAAAGCACTGTGGCTAAGGTGTACACAGGGTCTCCCGCCTTCATTCTCTGAGTGGGGCCTCTCCCCGCCGAGGAGATGTGCTTGTGGTAGGCACGGAACAATTTATCCATCCTAGCTGAGGGCTGCAACTAGAAAAGATCAGATATCCATGACACATCAAAGGAACAGTGAGTCAGTTATTCTTCAGTACAAGAAATAACCAGTGGACACATTATGTAACATAGCTTCACGAATGCCTTGGTTGAAATCATCCATATGAAGATTGGCAGTAAGAGTTTCTTGCTCTTGAAACATGAATTGTATGAGTCAGAGAATGTGTACAGCGCCTGGGGTCCATCACATGGAGTATGTTGGGACTTTCAAAACTTGACAGCATGAGAAGTCTAATAAGTTCATATCTAAACTAGACTGAAATAGTCCATGGAGTATTGAAAGACTCATGTATGAAAAACGTAATTTTAAAGTAGATTCTCAATATAATATTAAAAATAGATCTCATGGTTCTTACTGCTATGATTTCTGTAAATTATGGAAAAGTTGAAGAAAAATTGTTTTCCTCTGCCTCAGGGAAAGCAGGACATAGAGTGAATTAAGAAAATGAGTTTTGGAATTAGATGGATAATAAGTTTCCACCTTAGCAATTTAGCTAGTTGTGTGAGCTTTCCTGTCTCACTGGCTGATGGGCTGCATAGTCCCAGACAGCTCATAGGTTAATGCCTGCTCTCTCCACCCTCTTTCCTGCATTCCCAGTAGCTCCTGTTACTCTCTCTCATATGTATGCATGGACGCGTGTCAGCTCTACTCATCTGTAACACACACATAACATGTATACATATGTAGTGCTAGAACCATTGTAACATGAGGGAGACCACTACAAAGTGGTGTTGAGCAGGATTTAATATTAACCAATTGGCTTTCCATGTTTACTTGTGAGTTGTCTGAAGCTTAGGCACCTTGTCTGAAGGTGGGCAGTGGACTCATAGTAAGTAAACCTCTGTGAGTCACTGGTTACTATTGACGCCTGTATTGGCCTGTGAAGCTGTGACACCTCAAAGGACAAGATAAGGTCACAGCTGAGGATGTCTGGCTCCAACCCCAATTAACTTAAAGGAGACTGTAGCTGCAGACATCTCACTCCTGCTGTGAAGGCCTTCCTGGAGATAACATAGTTCTCCTAAATCAACATAATGTATAACTTGGAAAAGTCCTGTCCAGATTCCCACGTTTTCTTGAATGTCCTCCTCCTTTCTTTGTAAACCAAATAAATATGGGCTGCCCAAAGAAGTCTTAGTCTAAACTCAGAGAATGTCAAAGCTGTAAGAGAGTTAGTCCCTCCTGGAGCCCTGAAATCATTTCAATTGTCTCATTTATTTAAGCCTTCACTGTCCACTCGTTTGGGAGATTGCGGGCCTGATCAGCCTGCAATAACTAAGGGTTATTTAACCCTATAGTAACAGATATGTTTATATACATGTGCATATATAGGTATATAAGTGTCTCAGTCACTTTTCTCTTGTTGCTGAGACAAAATACCTGACACCAAAAATTAGGGAAGGGGGAAGGTTTATTTAACTCACACTTTGTGGAGGTTTCAATCCATACTCAGATGGCTCCAAGGCAGAGTGGCACATGGCAGAGAGCAACGGTTCATGGTGGAAGAAAACAGCAAAAGCAACAAGAGCGAAAGGGAGGAGCAGTGGCAAGCAGCCTCTTTCCCTCCCTTAAATATGCAAACTACCTGCGCTGGGGCAGGTGTAGCACTCACACCCATAATTCCAACATTGGACCATGAATCAATCATAAACTCTAAAAACCTGCACCCATGACTGCATGAGGCTTTGGGGACATCTAGACACAAACCATAACAATATATATATGTGTGTGTATTTGTTGTATGAGTATGCACATGTTCAACAGTTGTATGTCTAGAAAGCATTTCAAACATCATATGTAAAGACTGAGCTCTTGATTCCTGCTTTTCCCATTGCCACACACTTGCCCATGCCACTCTCCACACCCTCAGTAAATGGCAAGTGCATTCTTCTACTTATTAAAGCTAAATATCTTGATGTTATTCTTGATTCTTCTTTTTCCCAAACACTGTGTCCTAACTGTCCAAATCTCAGTGGCTCTAGCTCATAAGACATCCAGGTTCCAACCACTTTTCTCCATTTCTCCTGCTCCCATTCTTGTCCATGCCTCTGTAATTTCCTCTTAGACTCAGACAATCCTGTCCTTATTGGGTCTTCTGCTTCTATTTTTCCCTGATTCAGCCCCTGTACAGTTGGAGTACTGTAGACAGTGGACATTGAATAATTTCAATCAGATAATACCACTCTGATGCTCAAAGCCTCCGTGTCTTCCCCTTCTTACTCTGAAGAAGCCCTTTGCTTCCTGATGAACCAGTCATGCTACTGTCTGGGTCTCCCATCCTGTCTCATCTATTCTGGCTTTCACAATGTACCTCTTAACATAACAGCTCTTTACATTGCTTTCTGTGCTCAGATATTCTTCTCCCACAAGGCCACTGAGCTCAAGTCCTCATTTTACTCAAGTGTCTGCCAGATGTCATACAAATGTATGACCTTCCTTAACCTCACCGGAAAATGTAATACCTTTTTCTTTGTCACCCTCATTTTCTACATAAGATCTACCACTGGCTAACATTTTGTATTTGTTTACTGTATGTTTTCCTCATCTATAAAGTAAGATTTATGAAAGTAATTTTATATTGCTGACCTCTGTATCTGAAATCTTAGCAACAACACCTTGAGTACCCAGTAGCATGTGTTCATTCAGTGACTATTCTGCTGATTATGTTCTACAGTTTGATTCCGTGTAGTCTCAGATCTCATTTATATTACCTACACTTTGAAAGTCCCCAAGGAAACATAAAAACCCTGTTGTCAATGTCATTTAAATAACCTAACGTTCTTTCTTCTTGGCAAGGCTGTGGTGGATATCTTCATGCAGACAGAGGGATTATCACATCCCCCAAGTACCCGGAGACCTACCCTGCCAACCTCAACTGCTCCTGGCATGTCCTGGTCCAGCCTGGCTTGACCATCGCTGTCCATTTTGATCAGCCCTTCGAGATTTCAAGTGGAGATTCGTTTTGCAACCAGGGGGATTACTTGGTGGTAGGTCTTACTTGCTACTGTCCCTAGTGGTATGTCTGCACTTCATTAAGAAAACACATGATGATTTTTCTCTTGTGGATCATAAATTGATAAAGCTTTTTCACTCCCTATTTCACAATATAAAGAACTTTACACAATGTTAACATGTCTTTGCAGCTAAAAAATGGACCAGATATCTCTTCTCCACCTTTGGGAACCCAAGGAAGGAACGGTCGTTTCTGTGGCAGTTATCCTCCGTCAACTCTGTTCACCTCAGATAATCAAATGTTTGTTCAGTTTATTTCTGATAATAGAAATGAAGGGCAAGGATTTAAGATCAGATTTGAAGGAAAGAGTTTAGGTAAGTATTTCCACTGGGAATTATATTTGCACTTTTTCTGCAATTATACGATTTTCTTTGATTCAATGAATTTGAAGAAATACATCAATTTTCCTTTCCAAAATAAAAGTGGTAGCATTAAGAATAGCTGTTTGTTAGGCATGGTTGTGCACACCTGTAATCTAAGCACTTGGGAGACTGAGGCAGGAGGATTGCCACAAGTTTGAGGCCAGCCTGGGCTACATAGTGAGTTCAAAGCCAGCCTAGACTACATGGTCAGACCCTGTCTCAAATAGAAAAACAAAACAAAACAAAATACTTATTATTAAGCATTTACTCTGTAATTGATACACCAAATGTCTCAATGTCGCTACTTTTTAAGGAAAGTATTTTTATTTCCACTTTCCAGGTCAACAAAATGAAAGTTTAGACTTTTCCAAGTTGACTTTTTCTAGTAGTGATCAAAGTGAAATTCTGCATGCATATAAACTAAACTGACTTCATTGTGATGCCTGGCATTCCACAGACTTTTCCATTATAAAATGTGTAATTGGTATTTAAACCTAGTTATACAAACATTGTAAGGCGTATGATTGCCTTGTATGCTTCCTTTTAAATGAACCCAAATCTTCTGATTCTATTATTACTCATTTAATTATTCTATATTACAACAATGTTCGTTATTTAACCACCTTTACCTAATTATAATTGTATTTAATTCTGCAGTAATTATTGATTTTGTGACATTTTCTTTTCAGTAAGTTTTAATTGAATAAATAAATACACATAGATAGCTTCACAAACAGAGAGTGGTCTTAGTGGTAAGCAACAGCCATAATAAATCTTTATTTGTCTTCCCTAGTAGCTAGTGTAGAGTTAGGTTGATTTTATGACTTTAATCCCAGATTGTTGAATATATTTAAAAATACTTGTTAGTTTCAGTGAAACTGTACATTTTATTATACATTTTCCTAAATCTGAGAATTTGATATGTTAGCATCATCTGTTCATTTTGGAAAAGGAAAAGAAGTACAAAGCTTCCATCCACTCACACAAACACACACACACACACACACACACACACACACATAACAGCTTGAAGATGACAAGCAATGTACTTCTGTCATCTCCCATTACATGCAGCTCTGACACACAGTGAGGGCTTTAACGGTTGTGCAGACACCAGCATCATTGCTCAACTCTGGGAGCTTCCCCTCCTGCCCCAGCTCCACGCATGCTCAGCTTGGTGGCAGAGTCTCAAGTGGGCTGGATTTCCCCTGGTGCCGAGGCACTGTCAGAGTAACAGTACACTGGATCTAGTGAGTAGACGTCAGCTCACCCTACAAAACTACCTTTCCATTGTTGGTCATGATAGACTTAGTTAACATTTAATGCTGATTCAGATACACTAAGGGTTTATTGGACAACACTGTTTTTTCTGTTCCTTTGTGCACTCTCTATAGATGGTTCTGATCATTACTTTCTATTTTTCTTCAAGCTTATGACTGCTTTTAATATGACATTTAAACAAATGTCTTTTGGTTTCCAAACTTATTGTTGCACAACCCAAAACACTATGATCACTCATCTTTCCTCCTACTTATCAATTCATCCATTTTCCTATCACCAGCATTTGTCTTTCTTGTCTCTACTTCTCTGCCTATTTCTCAGACTTTATTGTATGTTCTTGTGTGAATAACTCTGACATCAAACTCACCTGGTTTCATATCATCTTTCTCCAGAGACATCTCTTCACTATGGTTGATTGAGCCCTCTATGATCTTGTGCCAGCAATCTTTTATTATCATCCAATTAATTGATTTGTTAATTAACCTATCAACAAAACATTCATCAAGCCAGGCATGGTGGTGCACGCCAGTAATGCCAGCGCTCTGGAAGGCTGAGGCACGAGAATCACAAGTTTGAACCCAGCCTGACCAAGTTAGTAACTTAGCAAGACCCTGCCTCAAAATAAAAACTAAAAAAGGTCTGGGGATGTAGCTCACTAGCAAGGCCTTGGGTTCAACTTCCAGTACTGCCAGAAAATTTTATAAAGTGCTTCATACAGTGCAAACTTCAAACTACCTTGTTCTGTTGAGGGGTTCAATTCAGTGAGGAGACAGATAGGGAAAGACACAATCACGTGGTATAATGAGTCCTCGATGTAGGAATGCATCAGGATGCATGAAGAACTAGGTTTACATGCAGAACCATCTACAGAGAGATGAATAGAGATTGGCTAATTAGTGAAGAAAGTATGTGACAACACATAAAATCTCACTGTTACAAGAGAAAATGTATTCACAGTTTTGAAAGGACTTACTGCTACTGGAAAATAGAGTCAAAAGGAGTAAATAGAGAGATGGAGCAGGAAGAAATCATCATGTGAGGGGCCATGAGTACCACTCTACAGAGAAAGGATATTACCCAGAAGATTATGGGGAGCCACGGAATGATTTTAATCCCAAACAAGTCTGGCGTGACCAGATGAGGAGACCAGTGTGGCTGTATCCCTGAAAACATATTGGGGTGGGAAAGACTAAAAAGAGAAAGAGTAATGATGAAAGAGTAACTCAGGGAAAATATTATTAGGTCCTGAACCAAAGCAATGACAGTAAGAAGGTAGAAGAGAGAGCATAGTGAGAGATTCTGCATACTGAATGGAGTAGATCTGGATGTCACATTACGCAGAAGGTGAAAGAAGGGATGGAGGAAACATAAGTGCTAGATTTCTGGCCATTTGGTCACAAACATTTATCTAGAACTTTCCATGTAATGCACACTGAATTAGGTCCAAAGAGAAGCAACAAACAAACACAATCCATCTACATGTAGCTTAATTTTAGCGTTAAACCACACATAACAAAAAAGTGAAATATATAATACATCATAAGGTAAAAGGTATTAAAGAAAAAATAAGGTGGGGGGGATCACCAGCAGGGAAGGCACTATACTGTCACTTACTCATGTGTGAATTAGGGATGACCAGAGAAGATCCTTTTTGAGACATGTTCAGTTTGAAATCTCTAAATGACATTCAGTGGAAAGGTCTGGTAGCTGTTGGAATATGAACCTGGAGGTCAGAAGGGAGCCCAGACCAAATCTATAGGTAAGGGAGTCATCAACAGCCTGGTTATAGTTTAAGTCATGAGGATATATGCCATTGATGAAGGAAGTATTAAGAGTGAGAAGATAAGAAATCTGTAGAAAGATTGCTAGGAGTCTCCAACAATGTCAGGGAAGCCCAAGGGCCACAGGAGGAGAAGAGCTTTGTGTCTAAGAAGCTAAGGGATACAAATGAAGAGAAAGGAGATAAGGTCAACTATGGTACGTGCTATGGATGTTAAATGAGGGTTGAAAACAGATCTTGGGGTATATAACTTGCAGGCTATTAAAGACCCGGAGACTTGACAGACTTGAAGGTCATAGGATGAGCAGTGGGGAGAAAAGCAGCAGAGGAGAAGAGAAATGATGTACAGCAAGAGCCCTGAAGAGACAGATGGGATGGAAACCTGACCCACAGGTGTAGGGGAATAACGTATAGGAGCGTGGAGAGGGCAGGGATGCAGATGAACTCATACACTTTAAAACGAATAAGGTGTCACAAATTGATCGGATTCTCATCCAATTTATTTCTTTTCTCAAGTAGAACTCCATGTAGTGTGTTGAGGATCAAGAGGGAATAAGCAGAACAAAAGGTTTAGGTAATAAGGTTCATAGAGTTATTATCCTTGACATGGAAAGCATTGGGCGAATGCTCGGAGGAACTGAGATTGGAGATCATATATTTTCAGTGGTGCCAGATTCCTTGAATGGCTTGAATTGAAAACGACCACAAAACTGACATTTTTGCAAGGGGACCTTGAGGGAAAGACATGGATCAAGGTTGTCAAAGGCCATCAAAGGGGTTCATAATTCAGGACTTCAGAGATGGGGTAATTCTGGGTAATGTCAAAGCTCAGGATGTGACCATCAGTGGCTGAGTGACAGTGGAAATAGTGCTTGAATTTAGTAGATCAAGTGTGTGCGTGGCTACTAATTGAATAGGCTAATTTCTTTGACATTGTAGATGTGTTTACTCCTGCCTCATTTATTTGCTGACATTACCAAAAAATGTTTGTAGAAGAAAGAAAATTATTATTTTACAGAGTACTTGTCTTTTAGAAAAGAAGTACAAAAATCTCCTTTATTTTCTTACCAAAAAGCTGATACATTCCTACCTGTTATCCATCTCTCGCTCCTTAATCTAAATCATGAACAAATATAATGAATGGGTATCCACAGCGTTGTACAAATATACGAAGAACACAGCTGTTTCACTCCCCTGAAGTGAGCAGCCAGTGGCGGTTACAACTGCTAGTGTCCTTACACACTCTCCTAACCGGTGAGTGCGTGTTTGTGCTTCTGTGACATTTGAGGCATGTTCTGTGTATCGTTTTCTACTGGCTTTCAGGAAGAGTGAAATTTTCAGTAAGAATAGATGGTTTGGCAAATTAAAAAGTGACACACCCGAGAGCTTCCTCAGTAGCAAATCCAGAATTTATTTGCTTAAAAAGAAAATGAAGATCATTCTAGATGAAAGGAAAGTGAGACTGGAAACCCAGGCAGGTTCACTTTAAAGAAGTGATCGCAGCAGCTGACTATGTCCTCCTTCACCAGACTAGAGATTGATTTAACCGTGTTTTTCGGTAGCCTGTGGAGGCAACATCTACATCCATGGTGCCGATGCTAGTGGATATGTGACCTCCCCCAACTACCCTAGCAATTATCCGCCGAATGCTGATTGCGTCTGGATCATATCCGCTCCTCCAGGAAAGAGCATAAGACTACAGTTTGAAGATCAATTTGATATTGAAGTAACACCCAAGTAGGTCACTTCCGTTTTGATTTTTCTCTTACCCAACGTTAGTATTTTTACTTGTCATGTCGCAGAACAATTTATTTCTTCTTTTGTCAGCAGCGCATACTGTGTAGGAAATCCAGGGACAAAGGGACAAGCTTAATGCCTCCCTCCGGCCTGAAAACTTCACCCAACAGCCACTCACTCTTTCATCAGCTGAGTGGATTATATACACTGATACTGTCCATTGTGACTCTTGGCACATTTTCTAAGAGACACCTAGGGTGGTGCCTTAGATTTATGTTATCTGTTCTTCCTCTCACAGGAAAAGTATAGTGCCTCTGGAAGATAAGTATTTATTGGCCCGGCTTCATATGCAATGTCATACATGATAAAATACCTGTTTAACAAATGGTAATTTATGTGACGTGTTACCAGGGGTCACCAGTGTCAGAAACAGCACTAAAGCAAGTACAATTTCCTCGTCTCGATTTAATAAGGATCCTTAGAGGGTTACAGCCCAGAGAATATTTCTTACCATGCTGAAGACAGAGGAAAACTCTCACCTGTAAAAACAAATTGGAACACAACATCTTACATGACTTCCTCTTGCATGTAATGAAGGTTGAATGCATCTGCATGAGTGACACAAAACCTAGATACAAGAACTTTGTGTTTATCTCTGAGCAGGAGCTATAATACTGTTCTTCCACTCACCGCACATTCCTTGGCTGGTTTGGCTTTCTCAGGAAACATTAGGTGGAGACTCGTCCTCGTTATGGACATAGACAATTCCAGCTGACACTCCCCACTAGCCCGGGTCCCAGAGCTGTGAGGAAAGCGTTCTTATCTTTCTCCTGTGAAATGTATCAAATGATTCTGCCAAAGTACTGGCTTTGTTGAAATCCGCAGGGATTAACTTGAAAACGGCTTTTATATTTGTAAAATTGACAGTACGGAAGGCCAGTGAACTTTCTCCTGTGTAGTGCCTGTAAAACTTGTCTTTGGAACTATCAACAAAAGACTGTGTTAACATTAGAAAATATACAGCATTTTAAAGTGCCAGGAAGTGTAAACTGGCTCCGCCATACTACCTTATGATATATAAAGGATGACTTCATAGTACCCTTGAATGAAGTTGGTGAAACCTTCATTACCAAGATAAATCAAAGCAATCGGCTTTATAAACTTAACTAAGGTTTTCCCCCCCCTCACTTTTAGCTGCATTTCCAGTTACCTTGAGTTGCGGGACGGAGATGGTTCGGGGTCACCAGTACTTTCCAGATCCTGTGGGATGTCTTTGCCCCGTAGCCAGCTGTCCTCAAGAGAGCTGATGTATTTGAGGTTCCGGTCTGACAATTCTACTCGTGTGGGATTCAAGGCCAAGTATTCTATAGGTAACACGTTTTTAAAATATTAAACATGAAAGTTGTGGTACAATAATACATTAAACTTTCTGAAGTATTTCTTTCAAAAATAAGTCTTTCCATCAGCCTAATTTTATTTTTTTATTTTTTATTTTACCCGCCTAATGTTAAGAATTATTTTAATGATCAAAACAAACAAACAAACAAACAAAAACCATTCTAAACACCCGGGTTGGAGATATAGCTCAGTGGCACTGCACCTGCCTGGCAAGCGCAAGGTCTTGAGTTTAATTCCTGGTACAAAAAAAAAAAAAAAAAGGACATTTATTTTAATTACAGAAATAAGTGAAAGGCAAAACTGTTTAAAGCCATAGTCATTTATGCATTCTAATTTTTTCTTTTCCTTTCCTTTTAAAACACTATTTTTACTAAATTTGAATATTTTATGTATTTTCCTGGCATTGTTAAAAATATGCCTAGCTACACAAATTCTTACTTTTTCTTTTAACATGCAATATGCATTTTACTTTAAGTAATAAAGTTAATTCATATTACAAACAACCATATTTAATACAGAGATTTTGAACTCATCAATAATAGAGTGGAGATTATTTTTCCTCTAAGTCTTCAATGCCAAATCAATCACCATACAAAAAGCAAATATTACTTTAATGTTTTGATTTTCTTATTTTAAAAATGAAAAATAAATATGAGTATTGAAAATTCCCTCCAGTGTGGTTACAGTGGAATTCGATTTAGTATCTTGCGAGTCTGGATATGATCTAAACAAGTATGTAATTGAGCAAAATGTCAGAAAGCCTAGTTGTAATAACATTTAAGCTATACCATTCGTCATGTTCTATCCTGAGTCAATTGCATATAATTCAATTTGGTTATCACATCCAACTAATAAGAAATAATTGGAGGGTAATTTTCCAGACCCTGAGAAACCTGTCACTGTAATACAATATTTATTTGATAGCTAAACTACACATGGCAGGCATCACTAATCTACTTTCAGTTGAGTTTGGACAATCTTTAGAATCATCAACCCAGGAGCCCATGTCAATCTATCAGATGGTTCTTGAAAAGAAATACGCTTGCCACTAATAGCTCTCATATAGTAATCCAAGAGAATTAGTGTGACATTACAGAATATACCATTCGTAACTCATTTTCTCTTTCCCATTATTGACTGGACTTGTATTATTTCTCTTTTTATCAACAGTATACTTAAAATAATAAGGAAAGCTCTTGCCAAACATATTCAGAATTATTAAAACTTCAATTCATATTCTCATGGGGCTGGGGATTTAGCTCAGTGGCACAGCACTTGCCTGGCAAGTGCAAGGTCGTGAGTTCGATTCCTGGTACCAGAAAAAACAAAAACAAAAACAAAAACAAAAACAATTCATATTCTCATGGCACTCGGAAGTTTTCAAATATTCGGGTTTAATCAGAGAAAAGTCTGCAGTAGAACATTGCCCTTTTTGTGTTTTGCAGCCCGGTGTGGAGGAACGGTAACAGGACAAAACGGTGTCATTGAGAGCACTGGCTACCCCACACTTCCATATCCAAATAACTTATTTTGTCAGTGGCGGTTCGAGGGCCTCGCAGGACATTATCTCACCATCCATTTTGAAGCCTTTAACCTTCAGAATTCCTCCAGCTGTGAAAAAGACTTTGTGGAGATCTGGGAAAACCATACCGCTGGTCAGTGAAAAGTATCTGCTCTCTACTGGGGTTTTCATGTTCTCGTGTAGTTATTCAGCATCTGGAGTTTCTCTATCTCCAAGAAAGCCAAGAGTATATCTACTGTCTGTTGAGAAGCTTAGATCCACCAGCTCTGGCCAGGGCCATCAGTTCTCTCCCTGGATGCTGCCGCTTTGCAAGGGATGCCCCAGGTCCCAGGTGTTGTCTGTAGCTCTTCCAGAAGATCACACTGGAGAGCACTGCACTGGCAGGGCATCCTCCTCCTGTTGAGACCCCTCGGTGCCCCATGCAGTTATTGGGGAGGGGGTGTCTGATTGATAGGGAGAGGAAAGGATGCCGCATGTCCTTAGTAATAGGAGAGCCACACTTGTCACTCGATTGACTGGCCCACTCCTTTAACCAACTAAGCAGGTCTTTCTCATTGTGCTGAGACGCTCTTCTTCTAATTGGTTGCATTTTTAAAAGCACATCTTCATATATTTGAATATGTTGACTTTTACCCCTGACCTTTTGCTTTTCTTGACAGAGGTTATCATTTCTTCTCAGGCGGGGTTTTTGTCTTTTATTATTTTCTTTGTGAGTGCACAACACCTTAAGTAGAGAATCAATGACCTGAATATATCCTTTGATCCTCACAGGACATCTTTTGGGTAGATACTGTGGAAACGCTATCCCTGAAAGCATAGACACCTCTGGCAATGCTGCCTCTGTCAGGTTTGTCACGGATGACTCAGTTACTGCCCCGGGGTTCAGGCTTCGGTTTGAATCCAGCTTGGCAGGTGAGTCTAAAAAACCCCATTATTGATCGCCAAGACGCTATGCTGGGGAGTGAGGTTACAACAGTTTGGAAACCGAAATGCCACCCTGTCTTCTTGGCCCTTGGGGTTAATGGAGAAGTGGCCATTCATCACCAGTCATACCAATGAAGGAAAAATTCCCACTGTGATAAGCGCTACCAAAGAAAGAGATGCAGTGAGAGATGAGAGATGAGGATTACATTCTGATATCCATCTTAAGAGAACTGGTCTCTTAGTCCTCAGGTTACTCCAGAATTCATATTCCCAAATCCCCTGACAAGCTCAGGTGAGGTAAAGACCTTGTCTGCAAAACCTAAATAATCACTTTAGCTTTCTTAAATTCACTGTTTAATAGCCTTTCACTTATCTTGGGCCTTGATGAGAATTAAAACACTGCCCAATGAATTATTGTCCAAGAAAGCAAAGATTAAATATTAACAGAGATAAGCAGTAAATAGAAATGGTTTCTAAAAGTGTTCACAAGCATATAGTGATAAATAAGGGCAATATTTTCATCTAGAGGGAGAATTAAATATTAATTTCCTTATGAGAGGAACCATTTTATTGACTGGAACTTTTCTTGTTCTTTCCCCGCCTCAGAGTGTGGGGGCGATCTACAGGGCTCCACTGGAACATTTACTTCTCCCAACTACCCGAGCCCAAATCCTCACAGCCGGCTTTGCGAGTGGAGAATCACCGTGCAGGAGGGCAGGCGGATCACTCTGACTTTCAACAGCCTGAGGCTGGGAGCTCATCCGTCCTGCAGCAATGAGCATGTGATTGTAAGTGTTCTGTGCAGGCAGGGTTACTCCAGGTAAACCCCATGAGGGCAAGCATTTATTTTACTCACGATTGATTCTGAGTGCCAGCACATTCTGACTTTATAACACTATGTATTTCCTGGCTTTGTAACACTACGCATTTCCTTTGCTTTGTTAATTTCTTCTTTTTGCAGAGCAGAGTCACCTGTAACTCCCAAGAGAAATGAGTATGAGTGGTAGGTTTTTTTGAGAATCTATGCATCTGAAACTATCCCATTTCACCAGCATTATTGAATGTATATATTCTACAATTATATATACTCATACATGTGAATATGTTAATCATAATTTTGAAGTTTTATGTCACTTTTGAGGTGATCCTTTTCCTTTAAATTCCTATCTGCCATTAACTTCTATTTGCTTCTACCTTTTATAGTAGACATTTCTCTAGACTCTGGTAATTACTGACTGTTCATTCAGGTTTAAGCATAAAATATGAAAAATTGGAAGCACTGTATTCATAGCTGGAGCTGTTAACTTGGGCTTCATAAGAGGTGCTGGAGGGCAGGACTTAGCTTTTTAATTAGGGACACATATGAATCTCATGTCTTCTGGTCTTTTCTCTTAGGTAAAATTATAACAAAGAAGCATTCTTGGAAATAATTTCTCTCTGAATATTTAGTATGATGTCCATTTTTCTTTTCTTTAAAATATTTGTATATATTCTGTGTTTGTTTTTTTTTTCCTCTGCCCTCTGCTCCGGATGAGGGTATGTGGATTGCCTTTTGCCCATCTTCTGTTTACTTCAACACTTACCATAAAAGATGAAAAGAGAGAAGGAAGGAAAGAAGGAAGGAAGGACGGAAGGAAGGAGGGAAGGAAGGAGGGAAGGAAGGAGGGAAGGAAGGAAAGGAAGGAAGGAAGGGAAGGAGGGAAGGAAGGGAAGGAGGGAAAGAAGGAAAGAAGGAAGGAGGGAAGGAAGGAAGGAAGGAAGGAAGGAAGGAAGGACAGAAGGACAGAAGGAAGGAGGAAAGGAAGGAAGGAAGGAAGGGAAGGGGGAAGGAAAGAAGGAAGGCAGGAGGGCGGGAGGGCAGGAGGGCAGGAGGGAAGGAAGGAAGGAAGGAAGGAAGGAAGGAAGGAAGGAAGGAAGGAAGGGAAGGAGGAAAGAATGAAGGGAGGAAGGAAGGAAGCAAGCCTTTTTAAAGATCTGCAGGTAGAGCGGGGCTACTTGCCTAGTACCAAACCCAGGTGGAGTGAACATATCTTCCAAAATCAAGATGCCTATTTGACTCTGTTCAGACAGAGAGAGCAAAAAGCTATTCCACCTAGGGTGTAGTACCATGAGACATGTGTTAAATATCATTCGTGTTCATAGCAAATTTTATAACCTATCCTGAAACTCTTGTGTCTACTTCTATGCTGTTATCTTCTGGGAGTTGTAGTTTCTGAGCACAAGAGGGATTAGAGAACCAGAATGGAAATAGCACTCTGGTTGCTTCTAAAGGCAGCTGTGCATGTGATCAATGGATGACTGTGCGAGCTTCAGTCATTGTGATTCTGCTGCAAGGCCAGCACAGTCAGGGGTGGAGGCCACTGCTCATGGTTTCCAACTTACCTCGTTAGCCTCCGGTTGGTACAATCCCCTTTCATTCTGAGTATGTGTTGCCCACTCCTGTTTTCAGTGAGATTGAAATGTTTATGATTTTTATTTCTTTATACTTTGTTTTATGGGTTTGAAATCAGGATTGGAAGCCCACGTCAAATATTCCTAGTTCTTTAAACATCTACAAATTGCAAATTTCCCATTACTCTAGTGTCTTGATCTGGAAAAATGGGTATTAGTATATGCACAAGATGGTGTTGTGCTGATTGACCAAGATAGTCTGACAGGGTAATTAACAGACTATGGCCTTGTGTTTGCTCAACAAATAAGAGAAAATTTTAAAGCAGAAGCCCCCAGAGAGCTAAGTTTAATAGTCACTTACAGTAATCCTTTGTAATACAATTCTTCTTCCTTCTGCAGAGCTTTTAGTGCCATAGTCTGAGTCATTATTTCTAATTTTGAGCCAATTAAATCCTTTCTAAAAACAGGAATATCAACCACTCAATCAGTGAATTATTCTTTAATTATTTCTTCTGGATCTTTTTTGAACTCTGAAAAGCAGTCATCCTAAAATATTCACTTGGTTTTATACAGCAGCAAAAAAATGCTTTGCAAATTATCATAACTATGTAAGCAACTAGAGTTATTGTTTAATATTGTGGAGTCAGTACTACTCTGCCCCATCTTTTTAAAAGTCAAATGAGTAAGAAAATTGAATCTTTAGGATCCATAACTAATTAAGAAAGAACCATTATGTTTATATTGAGATTGATTTTTAAATTACTGCTCAAGGCATTTTAAAATATTTGAGCTATTACATATATTAAACCATTAGAGATTAACATTTATGCCTTTCCCCCTAAATATCAAAGGTCCTGGCACAGGGAGTGGGGTGCACACCTGTAATCCCAGCACTCAGGAGGCTGAGGCAGGAGGATCGTTGTGAGTTCGAAGCCAGCCTGGGCTACAAAGTGAGCTCAAGGCCAGCCTGAACTGCATAGCGAGACCCTGTCTCAAAAAAAACCAAAAAAACCCACAAAAGTCCTAGTGCATTATTAAAAAGAACTGTCCCTCAGTGAGCTCTGTGAACTATGGCAGAAGCATCTCTCACACTGACTTCACATTTTGGTCGTGGTCCCCACTTGCAAGTGTACAGCAGTCTTTCACCTGTCACCACATGGTGGGAAGGTATTACTGCAATACTTCACTTCAATAAAATGAACCTAAGGCCACAGCATATGTCCAGGATAATGGGCTGGCTTATGATACTAGGATGGGTGCCTGCATTGTTAATTAATTTCCGCCCAGGTTTCTCTCAGGTGGAAGTCAGTCTGGGCTGGGAATATCATCTTCTAGGAAATGTTCTGTAAGATGCACTCCATATCTAAAGGTTAAACTATTTTTCCAACAGATATTCAATGGCATTAGAACTAACTCTCCTCAATTCGAGAAACTGTGTAGCAGTGTAAATGGAAGCAATGCAATACGATCTTCAGGAAACACAATGAAAATTGTGTTTTTCACAGATGGATCTCGGCCGTATGGAGGCTTCAATGCTTCCTACACATCCAGTGAAGATGCAGGTAATGTGAGATGCTGTGAAAACACCTCCTTTAAATCAGTTACAGTCCAGATGCCCCACAGATACCACTAACAGCAGCAGAGCCTTCTATTTTCTCCTCTGTGATTACTAAAATTATGCCTAGCATCCTCAGCATAAAACAAACATACACATTCAAAAAGAAAATCCAGTTCAAACCAAAAAGCTTTTTGATTTCAGAAACAATGGTACAATTGTAAATTATAAACTTTTAACAAATGCTATTAATTGGGCATTTAGCAGAATTCCATTGCCATGAGGATTTGATTCAGATCCACAGTCCTTGGTCAGTTCTTCTGTGTTGAAGATACCATCTACCTTTTAGAAAGCAACTTTGTCCCAAGGCCACTTTGTACTATGTCTTAGTCACCCACCCATATACACGTTTCCAGTGAGAGTGAATGGAGGGCTCTGCATTTGATAAAGAATATTCATAATGAAGCAAGATGTAGCCTCTGTGTATAAATATTTTCTGCCCTTTCGATTGGTGCTATTGTGTAAGGGTTTTAAAATTTAGAAGGAATGGCAATGAATTTTCAAAAAACTTCTTTATTTCACTGAGGTATTCATTGCCATGAGACATTCATTGCCATGTAAAACTTGCAAATTCATTGGCACCCCCGTGTTATACTTTGGCCCAATTAGTTTCCTGGATCAAGTAGAGAATTGCTAAGCAGAAGCCACTGGGACCTACCACCAATATATATAGGCGCTCCTCTAAATCCAGTATTACGGAACAATAAGTACAAATTTAATGGTCCTGATCATCAGCCAAGTCTGCGCCATCTACTCTTAAGCCAATACAGAAATAAATAAACTTTATTTTTGCCTAACTCTCTTACATCAGCTCACAGAGATTTCTTTACATGTCTTTTATCAACAGCCCTGACTGCATCCAGAAAGACAAATCACAACAGCAATAGTGCTGTTGTTATTTTAATTTCTTTTCCTGGATTATTGGCGTCTTCTGTTACAGCATGAGTTTTACTATTAAGTTCTCTGTTGCCATTTGTTTTCTTAGTGTGTGGTGGGTCTCTTGCAAATGACCACAATGGAAACTTTACTTCTCCTGGCTATAATGGAGTCAATAATTACTCAAGAAACCTGAACTGTGAATGGACTCTCAGCAATCCAAATGAGGGAAATTCATCTATTTATATTAATTTTGTGGATTTTGCTCTTGAAAGTCATCAAGACTGTCAATCTGATGTCCTTGAGTTTCGAGCAGGTGAGTTCTTTCAAAGAACATGTTCTCTCATTTACTTACAGGATATTTCTTATGTTTGCTGTGATTGCTAACTTTGATTGTCAGCTCGGTTGGCTTGAGTGACGACTTGGGGATTAGCAAAGCACACTTTTCAGTGTTTCTGGATGTATCATGGAGGTGTGGCCTTGGAGACTATATCTAGTTCCTGGCCCCTTCCTCTCTGGCTCTCTTTCTAGTCTCAGCTTCCCAGCGCCATGAAGTGAGCATCTTTGCTCCATTATCCCTCGCTATTGCTTCTTGAAACTTTTCCAAACTCCTCCTGCAAGTCAGCACCAAAAGGTTTCTAAACCACTTGGTCAGGTAGGAGCTTGGAAAAGTTTCAAGAACCAATCTAGAGAAAGCTATGGGTGCTGTAAATGAAGATTGATGGATGATTCTAGTCAGAAAAGACCAGAATTCTGATACAAATAGGGAGAATAAAGACCAGGTTCATGAGGCTTTAGCTGGGAGTGAGGGTTGTGGTAGCAATTGGCCTAGAGGCCATTTGTGCTACTTTTTGGCAAAGAATTTGGCTACATTTTGTCCATAGCCCACAATGTTATATGAAGCTGTTTAAAGACAGTAGAGTGATTGATCTGGTAGAGGAATTTTCAAGTCAGCCCATTGTCCGGTGTATGGCATGGGAATTACTGTCTTTAGCCAGATTTGTAGTGAGAATCAGGAACAAAAAGCAGAACAGAAAGATTTGAAAAACTTGGAGTTTGGCCAGAAAAGAAGAACATGTAATTTTGGGGCTAAGGGAGGGTGGCTTCTGAGGTCATCAGTAGCAGTAGAAAGAAAGCAGGGACTTTGAACTGAGACAAGAAGAGAGATGCCTTAATAGCATCTCAGGAACCGGCAAGACTCCACCCATCACAGACTCAAGGGTACAGAAGTATAAACCTTTCATTTGTAAAAAGAGCCCCTGGGTCCTCTACACGAGAAGGACCTCCTTGTGAATTAGTTCCTAGGGTTTATTTCACCATATTCAACCATCTAGCAACTATAGCCTTTGTCCAAGGGCTTTGTCTAAAACAAAGCTCTCCTCCTTTAAGGTGCAAGTATCCGGTAGTGTGTTCCAGCAATCAAAGCTGGCTAATATACTTGGAGACCACAAAGAATCAAAGGAATTAGTGGCCGCCACATAGGCACACAAGACCCAAAGGGAATGCTGAAACAAAGCCTTACTTACTTTTGTGTCCAGCTGAGTTAAAAAGTACACTGCAAGCATCAGTAAGGTGGATCTGTGTTTGCAGCTAGACCTATGTCAGGGTTGTTTCCTAACAAATATATGTGTAAGTAAATAGAAGAGGAAAATAATATTGTGGACAGTCTGTGCTGTCAAAGATTTCCTGAACTCTTCTTTATCCAAAAATTTAGAGAAAAGAAAACTGGAAGGAGCAAAAGTTAGTTCGTTGGCGGGGATGTTCTTAGACAATTATAGAGATCAGTGGTAGGAGAATGTGAGACAGCCTATGTTCACAAACCAGGGACTTCAAGGGAGAATCATCCTAACACTCTGAGGGTGAGGAGTCTAGAAGGTCTTAGGAGGGAAATGAAATTTGTAGTTTAATGATGTTCTCTATGAAAAGCTGATAAACCTTCACCTCTTCTACCTGATTCAAAGCTACTGGCCTATAGAATCAAGCAAAATAGCCGTATATAAAGTTTCACTTAGTCGAATGTCATTTTCTCTTTATTCTTTCAGATTTAGCAACTGTTAAAATGCTGTATTTCAATGATTTATGAGATCAGCGATGTTCATCTGACAGAATAAATAGCAGATAGATGTGAGCTATCTAGGTGCTCTATAAATGTTAATCAAATTTCTGTGAAAAGTAATCTTCATAAAATACATTCAGCTCAAATGTGACAGTTCTTGGCCTGAGTACTGAATATTTTCTCCATTTTTGCTGACTGAATACACTGAGGAAATCCTTAAGAGATGAGACAATTACCACCTTTATCCGGAGGATATAGTTTGTCACCATTGGTATTGCATTTATTACTCACTAAAAAAGGTATAACGCAAAGGATTTCTTAAATTAGTTGTATCTCTGTTTAGCTATACTGAAGCAATTATGAAAACACAAACCAGAAGGAATTAACAACACACATAGTAGAGATGTGTCTATAACAAAACATCCTAGGTTTTTTGTTTGTTTTGGTTTTTGGTTTACTCCATCAGAGGAACTCTCTCTTTTGCAGTTAACAAAAACAGAGAAACTTTGTGACTTTGTACAATTTTTTTGTTATTTTTTATTAAATGTATTTTTCAAAAACTATATAAATAATAGTACGTGGTGTATTATTTTATCAGGTGATTCTGAAGGGCCCCTATTAGGGAGATTTTGTGGCCCTACACAACCTACAGTGCCACTGGTAATACCTTATCCTCAGGTGTGGATACACTTTGTCACGAATGAACATGAAGAACGTACAGGATTCCGGGCAGAGTATTTCTTTACAGGTAAGACTACGATTCAAATCTCACTCCCTGGAAATAATATCATAGTTAAACTTTTTATAGTCTTTTCCATAAAAAATATCGTGGATAGTTTGTGAGATTTGTTTTTTTGTTTGTTTGGGTTTTTTTGGTTATTTTCCGGTACCGGGAATCAAACTCATGACCTTGCACTTGCCAGGCAGGTTCTGTGCCGCTGAGCTAAATCCCCAGCCCCTGTGAGATTTGTTTCTAAGTAGTAATTAGTTTTTTGAGTTATGTCAATGAAATTTTTCCAAGTTACATTTAAACAATTCATGGTTGATAGCTAGGAATTTTATAATTTTTATATATTCTTATTTTACAGGTCTTGTTATGCTCTTGCTGGTTTTAATACTTTGTCATTAGTTCTTTGTTTTTGTTTTTCAATGTAAACAATCATATCTCTTACAAATGAAAGTTCTTTTATTTTCAGCCCTTAAATACTTCATTTCTCTTCCTTGCCTTATTTCACTGACTGTGCTGCTATTATAATATTAAACAAGAAAGATGATGATCTTAATGTGAATATCTGTGGCATTTTATTGTAAAACATGTTGCTTGCTCTTAGATTTCAAATAGCTTTTTTTTCAGATTAGTGAAAGACCTTTTAATTTTTAATGACAAAATTTAAAAAATAGGATTAGTTGTAAGATTTATCAAATATTTTTATCCGTCTGGTGAGATGATCCTATTTTTCTCTTCGTATTTGAGAAATATTTTTCTCTTATTAAGCAATTCTTACACTGCCAGAATAAGCTGCACTTGGTGATGATGTATATTTTACTCTATGACTGCACATTATTTGCTGATGTTTCATATTGCTTTTACATCTGTGACATTCAGAGTTTGTAACCCAAGATGTGTAGCACTACTCCTTGCTGATTCTCCTGGCTATTAGGGATTTTTCCAGTTCCTTTCAACTAATAAGGCTGTCCTTTTAGATTCTTAGCTTTATGTTAAGCCTCTGTTCCAACCTTTCCTTTTCTGGAAATCCAGGGTCATATCCTCTCTGCCTGCCTGATCACCAGAACCTCAGGCCCCAGCCCCTGGGTACTCATCTTGGTTCTTTACCTTCCCAGACTGCCACATTTTCTGTTTGAGATTGTCCTTCCAAAATTTAGCATTTACTGCTGGTAGATTTTTGGAGAGCCCCTTTTTTCCACTGAGTTTAACTGTGAATCAAAATACATTTTGTTAAAAAAAAAAAAAAAGTTTTGTTTATAGTTTTACCCAACATCTCTTTGTGTTATAACCAAATGGCTGGTTGAGGGAGGGAGGATTTCTTTTTTTTTTACTTAATCATCTTTCCAATTTAGTTTTGTCAGATTGAAAGAAAAGAGTTAGGCTTCAAGAAGCAATGCTATATGTTTTGCGCATGAGATCATCCTAGCTTTATCAATATATCACCTTTTCAACTTATCATGCTCATGTATAGTTTGATTCTTGAGTATGTGCTTATTATCAGATAACAGAATGTTTAATTATGGGACTGATCATTTCTTCAAGCTTGTCTATATTTTCACTGGCCCACTTTTCTTTCAAGAAAGGCAGTATTACTTACTTTGTCTCTAGTGCATTTACTGTAAGTTATACAATATGTGTAATTATTTATAATATAGATTATCTTCCTCCCCCTTTGTCCTTAACTTGAAGTTGTATTCATTTTGTGATTCTGTTCAGTTAACATTGTCTGAGAATCTTTTGTTTATATTATTACACCTCATTTTGCTTTCATTTTATTCATCCATTGTATTTTATCATAAAGTATGATGACTATGAATACAACTATGTCTTTGTGGGGGTTTTCCTTCTATCTTACTTAGAGAGTTACAATTCTGGTTTCAGATTGTGGTGGAATACAAACAGGAGAGGCTGGAGTGATAACCAGCCCTAACTTCCCTGGCCCTTACACCAGATTAACCCACTGCTCATGGCTGTTGGAAGCTCCAGTAGGACACACCATCACTGTGAGTTCTTAAGAGTGGGTAAAATACTTCCATGATTGTCACGGAACTAGAATCTGCTGAGTAAGCAAGTGATTGGAGAGGCTTGGATTCTGCAATCTGATCATTGTTTCCCCCTAAACTTCTCTCACTAGGTATCTCACTTGATATCCTCAAGTCCATGATTACTGAAAAATGCTATATTTCTCACGCTGAGGAGAACTTGTACATAGAAGATAAATCCATGTCTAGGAGAGAAGTGTTCTCTTGTTCTTGATCTTAGTTACATTCTAGACCACGAGAATTCTGGAGTCCCCTGAATGATGCCCCTCCCTGGAGAAAAAGCCCCTCTCTAGATATTTGAGAGAGAGAGCTCAGTAGGAAAAAGAGTCAAGAGGAGAGAAGGATTAAAGAAGAGATAGGAACACAAAGTTATATGAAGAAACATAAAATAAAAATATTTGTAAGGTTTTATCTCCCTCAAGGTAGATAAACTCACTGACAGCTCAGAGGGCCTTAGTATTTCTCTTTTCTTCCACAGCTTGCATTTACTTACTTTAACATTGAAAGGCATGCATCCTGCATCTGGGACTCGGTCACTGTCAGGAATGGTGGCTCCCCTGAATCACCCATTATAGGACGATACTGTGGAATTTCAAACCCCAGGACAATACAGTCTGGTTCCAACCAGCTCACGGTGATTTTTAACTCAGACCAGTCATTTGAACATGGCGGATTTTATGCTACATGGAGCACTCAAACTTTAGGTAAATAAAACCTTCTCTGCACTTGTACTTTTTTCAATGAGATAGTTTCTTATCTAATTTAAAATATAATTCCTTGGATTATGAACTCCAGCAGACACAAAACTGTAGATGCTCAAATTCCTTATATAAAATGGCTTAGTATTTGCATATAACCTATATGCATTCTCCCTTCTGTATTAGATCATATCTAGGTTATTTAGAACACCTAGTACCATGTTGATGCTACGTAAAAAGTTATACTGTATCGTTTAGTGAATAAAAGCAAGGAGAAACATTCTATTCCTCTTCAGTGCATATGGAATTTTTAAAATATCTGCGATCTGCTATTGATTGAATCTCTCGATACAGATGCTGATACGGAAGGCTAACCATAAACACATTTTCCACCTGCTCTGTTGGATTTAATGCTCTGAACGCATCATTTCATGTAGCAACTGTAGAAAGATAACACAGTAGCAGTATTTATCTCTTGTGTTTTGCATGGACAGAAACTGAGGATTAAGTGGATTGGTAATTTACCTAAAATATATAGTTGATAACTGGTAATCAGGATTTGAATAAAAGGCAGGTGAGCACAGAAACTTTGATCTTAGCAGTGCATGATACAGACTCCATGGAGAAAAAAGCACGGAGCAACCAGGGAATCTCAAGTAATAGGTACAGGTGTTGGAATTGCAAGACATTTCAAATATTCAGAGTTTAGAGTCAGAATGCTTAGAGCAGCAAAGGCAGGAAAATAAGTGGTCTGTGTCGTGAAGAGTTGTAGTTTATATATTATCCCTCCAACAGGGAGAGCTGTTGAAAAGTTTGTGATTTACAACAAATACTGTAGCATATGAGTGCTGAGTCAAAATATAGCAGATTTGAGTAGCTTTGTGCCTATAAAACGTAAACCTTTTGAAAATTCTCAAATGATAAGAGCTTTATCAATTACTTTATTTAGGATTTCAGTAAATCCTAAATACCACACTGGACAGTTCTTTCCCATAGAGTAAAAGTTATTACGGAGGTCTTTATAAAATTAGTTCAATCTTTGCTTAACCCACTGGCTACTGTTGAAGTTATACATGAGTTTTAAATGAACAAATAGTATTCAGGAAGGTAATATAAAAGCAAAAGAGGCAGGGAGTTCCCCTTAATTTATCTTCATTTTGTGTTGAGTTCATATTTTCTTTGTCATTTTTAGAGTATGACAATAATTCTAGATTTTTCTTTCTCTCAATCCCTGTTATTTATTTTCCATCCATGATTCATCCATCAATTGATTTCAATATGGATGACTAGGATCACTTAATGGGAGAAACTTTCCTCAATTCAAAATTACTTTTGCTAGTCCAGTATGTTAGAGTAAAATTATAAATGAATATAGAGTCATATTCTCATGTGTCTGTGGTAATAAAATACCGAGCTCACATTGCCTTGCTATACATACTACACAACCTCAAGGGAAGGAAGAAGTATTGCTAGTGTTTGAAGACAGTGCAGAGGTCTGTCCGCTTTGGTGAGGAATTCAGTGTAGGTGTCACAAAGCAGGAACAGCTGAAGTTTCCTCTGGATTCAATGCCCTTTATGTTTATTGAGAGTTCTTGCTGTGAACCTACCCCAACGATGAGTCATGTATAAGGAATGACAAACTTAGAGCTCACATTTAGCAATGTTTCTCTCTAGCAGTCTCAAATTTCCAGAATTGTTTTCCTTGCAGAGTGATGATTTTCTCCATGAAAAATTTTCAGGTTGCGGTGGAATATTTCATTCAGAAAATGGTACAATCAGATCGCCTCACTGGCCACAGAATTTCCCTCAAAACAGCAGATGCTCCTGGACAGTCGTAACTCACCAAAGCAAACACTTGGAGCTCAGCTTTGACAGCAACTTCCGGATCCCCAGTGACAATGGACAGTGTCAGAGCAGCTTTGTGAAGGTCAGTGCGCTTATTTATTTAACTGGAGCCAAACCAGTTTTGCAAACATAAACATTTAGACTACAAATGACGCAGTCATTTCTCAACATATGAAAAAGACAACTTTGCTGCTCACATTTCTTGGATGTAATAATGAGAAGTCTTAGCAGATAGAAGTTAAAATGTGAAGCACAATGCATACGTTTTACTGCAGTTTTTCATTTGCTAATATCTAGAAATGGCAACTCAGCTGAGTAGACTGCTCTCTGGCCCTATCAAATTCTCATGAGCGTTAATGGTTCGTTCTCCCTCTGAAAACTAAAGAGAGAAGGCTTTTTGCCTTCTTCCTGTTTCTTTCTTTCCTTCTTTTCTAATAGATTCTAAGGTCTTAACAATCCAAGGTACAACCACACGCAAGCTTCATTTTGTTTTTTGTTTTTGCAAAGTTTTATTAAAGGTGGGAAAAGAAACAGGCTCTGCAGACCGAGTCTGAGCCAAGTAAAAAGAAGTACACCCTAGAGTGTGAGGGCGGGCCACCATGCAAGAGAACACAGTGGCCTCACAGGCTACCTTTAGTGTGCGCTGTAAAAAGTACAGAAAATTGGAGAAGTAGCTAATGCAGTGTTCAGCTTGAACTTTAAAAGCCTGTAAGCTGAAAAGACAATGAGACACCCACATAAAAATGAGTGCAGTGGGGAGTCAGCAGGGCCGTCTTTCTCTAGTTATAAATCCTACTTATAGGCACTTTCACTTTCAATTGACATGCAACGATGACAGCATTATAAGTTCATTTTATCTGCAGCTTATGTATCTCTGAGTGACTATGCCTTTTAGTGGGAAGAATGTTGACCCTAAGGTCATGGGAGTCGGGACTCCATTCTCTCAGAGTTAACACCTGCATGTTCTTTTATGAGCTAATTAAACATTTGAGCTCCCTATTACTCACCTATGAGAGGAGTAGAATGATTCTTACTTTAGTAGGGCTGTTTTAAGCATTAGAGGTAAGATGATACCATAAATAATGGTGCTCAGCACTTGGAATATAAAATCATCTAGTGAGAGGAAATGGCTTTTTTGTTAATATTGTTATTCCATATCAGCTCTCAAATTATGTTTTATATCTTATTGATCCATGCTTCCTGTTTAAATGAAAATCCAATACTTATATAAAGTATGTACATAATGAAACATTTAATGTATGCTTTTACAAATTGCTTTTTCTGTGAAATAAGTGAATTCTCTTCTCAGTAATGAGTCAATATCAAGTGTATAGACTTAACTAAAGCTATTCATTTCTCAAGTTGTAAAAACTGAAGCTGAAAAATAACTTGGGCTCCTTTCTCCTCTAATAGAATAGAAGACCCTCTGACCACATAAGCCTGGGATGCATGAGATCATTTACAAACCTTGCCAAAAATAAGCGCTAGGGAAGTTTTCTTTTCCTCCCACTGGACCTGAGAGTCTACTTCTGCCATGAGATATGAAAGTGAGTCAGAAGAACTCAACAGCAAGCAGCCTTGTGTGGGAAGCCCCTTTTTACCTCTAAGCCCAAGTCTCTCTTTCACCCAAAGACAATAGACAGGGGCAGAATGGAAAAAGGTCCAGGAAGCCTTTTGGTCCCTAAGATCCAGGGATGCTCCTTACCTATCCAAAGACATTGGGGTGGCCAGGAGTCATTAGTAGGGACTCATACTATATTGTTCCCCTTCAATGGAGAAATACATGGAATCCCTACCAGGTAAAACATCCCCTGCCCCGTCAGGTAGCACTAGCAAGAGCTAGTAGCAACCCAGGTAATACCATATAAACCGAGCAGTCCAAAATTACACCACAAAGATTCTCAAAATTACATAGCCACTGGAAGTACAGCCCAAAAAAAGAATGAAAGAACACATGCAAATTGTAAACAGGGTGACTGCCTGCTAAAGTAAAAGATTTAAATAGGGTTTAGAGTCTCCTAACATAATAAGGCACCAGGACACAATAAAAGAACCCATTGTAAGAGGAACAAAGACCATCACAACTTAAGTCAGAAAAACACAATCAAATGATGTCAGCACTGAGGTATCTCATGTGTTAGAATTACACAAAAAAGATGTTGTAGTACCTGTTGTGAAACTGCTCCAACTATCACTGACAGGTTTTCTGGAAACAAATAAAAAGTGTAAATTCTTAATAAAGAAATAGTAGTTGCAGTGAAAGACTAAATGGGAATTATAGAACTGAAAAATATATCAGAAGTAAATAACTCATTGGATAAACTCAGATGAGAAAATAGAATCGACGAACTTGAGAATGTGCAATAGAATTCAGCCTCTGAACAATGAAGACAAACCAGACTACAGAAACATAAGCAAGGCCTTAGGACCCAAGAATCATAATGAAAGGTCCAACATTCATATTACCGCAGTCTTGCCAAAGAACAAGGAAACACTCACATAGAAGGCTCAACCAAAAATGTTATATCTGGAAAATTATCCTTCAAGAATAAGGTAAAAACAAAACATTGTCATTTAAAGGGAAACTAAAAGAAATTACCCTCAGGGACTACCATTACAGATTGCTTCATGGAAACTTTCAAAGAACATGAAATGATATGAGAAAGGATCTTGGAATATCCAGAAGGAAAAAACGAACCTCGAAAGAGCAGAAATGTGTGTATACAACAGAACTGTCTTCGCAGTGTTATGAGTAATGTTTAATAACTGGAACAAAAAGTTATAGTACCCTCTGATGCTCAAGAAAATAAATAAGTCAGTGAGGTAAAAGTACCTAAATGGACCTTAAATGTCTGCATTTCACTCAAGGTGATCCAGTGTGGGTGCTTGCACATGGTTATAATCACACGTGTGTAATCGCACCCAGAACAATGACAACTGCCAAAATTATACGAAGAGATTAACCCAAAACCACTATAAGTCAATCAAAATGGCATCTCCAGGAAGTTAAACAATGAGAAATGAGAGACAAGAAGCAGTAGCAGTAAACAGAAAGCAAGTAATAAAATGGCAGATGTAGCACAAATATATAACAACAGTTTAACTATAAATAGTTTCATTACACCAGTCAAAATACAGTTATTGATTCTTGGAGACAAAACATGACTCAAGTTATAATAAAATCACTTCAAATTCCTACACATGGATAGGTTAAGAGTTAAAGAATCAAAAAAGGCACATTATGCAAATATTGATCCAAAAAGCAAAAATGGCTAAAATACTGTCTGATAAGTAGAATGCAGAGGATGGAAAATTACAACTATATAAAAAGAGAAAGCTTAGATAATGATAAAAGGATCACTCCACCAGAATGACAAAATGATTCTAAATATGTGTGCATCAAACAGCAGTGCTATAAAATACATGAAGCAGTAATTGATAGAGCTGTAAAGAGAAATAGATTAATCTTTGGCTACACTTGAGAACTTCAGCACTGCTGGCAATTGATAGAACAAGTGGAAGATAATTAGCAAGGTTGTAGAACTCTATAAAACCATCAACTGGTAAGAAGTATGTAGTTGACATATACAGAGTAAACTGTACAATGAGAGCGGAATACACATGTTAGGTACCCTAGGAATACACCAATGTAGGCCATATACTGAGGCAGCAAAACACTTCAACAAGTTGAAGAACTGAAATACAGAGTGTTCTCTTTGACCGTATCAAAAGCAAGCTGAAAAACAATAACAGAAATGAAATCTTCCCAAAGGTGGAGCTGATCTGGAGAGAACTGACCGGGAATGAATCAAAGTAGTCAATTAAAACACCTAGCCAAAGTGAAAGTCACAGGGGCTGGGGATTTAGCTCAGCGGCAAAAGTGCCTGCCTGGCAAGTGCAAGGTCGTGAGTTAGGTTCCCGGTACCGGAGAAAAAACAAAAAACAAACAAACAAAAAAAACAAACAAAAAACAAAGTGAAAGTCACAGGCAAGCCTTTACTCACTTACTGCAGTAGTGCAAGCAAGCAACTAAACAGGTAAAAGTGCCCTCTCACCCAAACATAGTTTTCTTCATGGAACAGCCCCTGAAAAATGTCAAGTAGATTGGTGTAGAGGTACGGATTCTCTCGTGCTCAGTGAGCCCCAAACAAAAATGAAAAAGTTCTGAATACTGATTCAGAAAGGAGAAGAATGTTTTCAAGTTTTCTTATCCCCCAGATAAAGAGGTCTTGCAAAAGTGCCTGAGGAGACTTCAGCTTTCCACCCCACAAAAGGAGAACTCAGGAAAGGAAACGTCCAAATGGAGGTACCCAAGCTAGGACTGCAGATATGCATGAAAATGTAAATGCCCGTGGGAAGGCCTGAAAATTCACATGTAGGTTTTGTCAAGGAGATGAACTCTTCGATTCTGTAAATACATAGATATTACACAAGTAATTTGTGAATCAAAAGAGCCATGTCAAACACAATTTTAAAATACGCAGACTAGAGTAAAACGAAAATAGGATGTATTAAAATGTGTAGGGTGTAGCTGAAGCTGTGACAAAGAGTAAATTTATGACACTAAAGAGAAATCAGTCTGAAATCATTCATAAATTATTATATCTAGTAAATAAATTCAAAGCCAGCAGAAGCAAAGAAATAATAGAGATGAAAATAGAAATTAGTGATCCCCTTAGGAAAAAAAATCAAGAAAACAAAAAGATCGCTTTTTAAAACTTGATAGTAAGATTGATAAAAATAAAAGGTGAGAACACGCAATTGCCAGTATCAAATGGGAATGAAATAAGAGATATCACTAAAATCTTGCAGCTGCTGAAAAAATGTTTAGAGAATACCCGGAGCAATTTTATGTTCATAAGTTAAACAACTCTGGACAAATGGGCCAATTCTTTTAAACCACTGCAGTAACAAACTATCACAAAATTGGTGCCTTGAAACAACAGGAATTTATTTTCCAACAATTCTAGGAACCAGAAGTCCCAAATAATGGTGTCAGTTCCTCCCAAAGATTCTGTGAGACAGCTCCTTTCTTGCCTCTTCTAGCTTCTGAGGACTCCAAGCACTCTGGCTAGCGGTCATGTTGTTCCGGTCTCTTCCTCAATGGTCACGTTGTCTCCTTCTTGTCTCTGTTGTGTCTCATCTGTGTCTGTTGTAAGAACTCTTGTTGTATTTATGCACCATCTAGATAATTCATGCTCATCTCAGGTTAGGGCCTTTCATTAGGCCAAATGCAAATACCCCTTTTCCAAATAGGGTAATAGTCCTAGAATCCAGGGATTAAGATATGGACATATTTTTCAGGGACCACTATTTAGCCCACTATAAACACAAGCTACCAAAATTCAACCATATAAAATAGATAATCAAGATAGCCTTATGACTATTAAAGTAATTGAAGTATAATTGAAAAAACATCTGAAAAATAAATCTCCTGAAATGATTTTGCTGCAAAAATACTATCAATTCTAAAAAATTCATAGCAACTTTAGTTTCTTTCAGAAAGTAGACACTTCCCAATTTATTTTATGGGATTAGAATTACTTGACCAAAACTAGATAAAAGCAGTTTACAAAAAATAAAAAAACAACACAACAGAGAACATGAGAACCCATATCTTACAAACTTAGATGCAAAGATGCTTAATTTTTTCTTGCAACCTAAATCTAGAAATGTATAGGAAGCTTTATAAACAGTAAGTTAGTGGGGTTTACCCCAAATGGGTTTATTGATCCAACAATGGAAAATCAACCAGTATATTGGATCATATTAGCACACTAAGGAGAAAAAAATCTTATAATCATATACTGGTACAGGAAAAACTTGACCAAATAAAGCATGGATTCATAAGAAAAATCTGACAAAGTTAGGAATAGATAGGAATTACTTAAAATGATAAAAGCATTATTAAAAACCCTATCATTATTCTCACATTCAATGGTAAAAGACTGAACACTTTCCCTGTGAGCTCGGTAAAAAGGTAGAATGTTCACCACTTTTGTTTAACATAATACTGAAAGTTCCAGATATTGTAGTGAGGGAAGCCAAAACTGATAAAACACATACTGGTTAGACAAAAATAAAACTGTCACTAGATGATGCAGAAGTTGTTGACTGTCATCAAAGAAGACATTTATGTAATATTTAAAATGACAATAGTAGGGGCTGGGGATTTAGCTCAGCAGCACAGCGCCTGCCTGGCAAGCATGAGGTAGTGAGTTCGATTCCTGGTACCAGGAAAATAAATAAATAAATAAATAAAATGACAATAGTTTAGAAATGGAAAGCAAATGGCCAGAGCTTATAGAGATGAGCCTGTGGGAGTAAACTGCACATGGTTGTGAAAAGGTAACTGTAAGTATCCTCCTGGCATTGGAACTGTGCAGTATCTTGAATGCAGTTGTGTACAGCCTCTATGTGACTTAATACACAGGCACAGGTGCAAGCAAAACTGGGAAACTGGTGAATCAGTGGGTTGCACATATGTCGACAGCCTGATTATGAATAGTTCTGAAAGATGTCAATAACCTGGTTATGTAAGCTGAGGGAACTGAGAACTCCGTACAATGATTTCTCTGCATTATATCTTACAACTGCATGTGAATCTGTAATTATGTAAATAAACATTTGTTTTCTGAAAAATAATTAACTTGGGTGGCAAAATAACTTACAACAAGACTGAATTATGTAAAACTCTAACAAGAGTCAAAGAGTTTTTGAGCAGAGGGTCATTTAGGAACATGTAGATTCAGTAGTTTTGCTGAGTCCTGGGTCATGTAGCCAGTGAAATGAATTCTAGATTGACCAGGAGACACTGGACACTTGATAACTGTGTACTATTTTTGGCATTATCCTTACTAAGCTTATATTCTTAGGTCAAAAGGTACAGATGTCAGATTCATAATTAATGGCTATAGAAAAGTGTAAGCACTTAAACATGTTTGAAGTTGTTCATTAAAAACTTGAGGCTCTTTATTAAAACTTGTAGCTCTTCCTTTACCTATTTAGTAATATTGTCTGTGTAGTAATGTAGTAATCTTTGTCAGAATAGTGCAGATAAGTATCTTTCAGTGTCATGTTCATCATTTTATAAAATGTAGATAGAAAATTTTGTATACTGTTTCCCTAAGTTGATTAAGAGGAAAAAAATCTTAAAAGAGTTTTAACCTAAACCTTAGGTCAAATGGGGATGTTAATTGAAATGTCCCTTAATCCTGAGCATTTGGCAGAATATCTGTATTTTTGTTCTCAGTAGCTCTAATACCAGGCACCTACAATATCTAATAATTGGCAAATATAATTTGTCTGCAATGAGGGTAGTAACAGCTAGACATTTACTGTTTGAAAATCAATTGAAATGACATGGCTTTAAAGAACTGAGAAATATTAAATCAGCCCTAGGAATCAGGGCTATTTCACACCTCTTCCTCTGGATTGATTTCCTGATGGAAATCTTTCTCATTATGGCTTGATGTTTTGGGTTCTGCCTGAGGAATATCCTTGAAAGAGATGTATTCAAAATGAATTAGTTTGTATAATTTAACATGAAGACAATGTAGAATAGTTGAGTAAGACTAATGCACATCCAGTTACTTTCTTGGACCAGATAATTCTCAGTTGTGTGTGGGGGTGGGGGTGGGAAGTATCTTGAGCATTTTTTGAAAAGCCCAACCCCCACCCACTAATCACTACCACCCCACAGATCAAATGTGACCATCAGACTCACCTCTGGACATTGCCAAATGTGTCTTGGGGAAGGCAGTGTCACCTACATCAGGTCAAGTGGAAGTTCAGAAGAATGTGATAGTGATTGATTTTAGAAAAATCCATAGCAAAACAAAAATAAACACACTCTCCTTTGGAAATCAAAATGGGACAGACTATTTGAAAAGCAGCTTAAATATTTTAGCTTGTGTTTTATTTACTACTTTTTTTTTTCTGTGTATACTTGGGGATCATTATTTTAAAGCCTAAGCACATTAAAATATAGATGGGGGGAAACTGCAGACACTAACTCCTGTTTATGGCTCTTCTAGGTGTGGGCAGGACCTGAGCAGACCTTCGACAGCCTGTTGACCACACGGTGTGGGGACGTGGCTCCCAGCCCGATCATCATATCAAAAAATGCATTCACTATGGTCTTCCAGTCGCAGGAGACGCCAGCCCAGGGCTTCTCGGCGTCCTACGTAAGCCGTGAGTAGCACTGAAAACTAAGCCAGACATTACTGAAAGAGTGTGGGTGCCACAAGCAGTGCTGGGGCACTGAGAACAGCCATGCCAGGGGTGGCTTGAACTGGGGACGTGAGAGAAAGTGTAGGAGCGAGTCATCTAATCTGGAAGAGACACCCATCCTTCAACTATCAGCAAAACCGGAACTGAACTGGACAGGAGGTCCACTGAGAAATGGCAAAAAGACTTAGGTGCTATCAGCCAACACCTAAACACACACCTAGAATCCAGAGTAGGCAGTGTTTGGCAGACACTTAGGTGATGGTGGGTAGACAACCACTGTTCCTGGCTTAGGGCGCACTGACCGCCTACATCAAAATCTCCTGGGGGCTTGAAAAACCTGCAGGTTTGGGGGCATCAGCCCAGATCCAGCTGAAGCCAGCATTTCCGTATGTGTGGGCTTGCGTGTCAGATCTCTCATCAGAGGCCTGTCAGCTCGGTAAACTTTGGAAGCCACTTCATGGGGATTCTCCCTTCCTAGCTGGCTACATGGGGCACTTCCATGACCACTGCACACAAACTGCATGAGTGGGGGTGGGAGCAGTGTCCCAGCCTGAGAGGCAGTGCCCTGTGCCTGCTGGCTGAGTTAGATCACGTAGCCACTCACTGGAAATCACTGTTTAGGAGAAGATTGCAGGAAAGGAATTAGAGAGAATAATGAAAACAAAAAATGGATGGTTCGGTCATAAATAAGGGAATGAAGAAAGTGGGAAGGAAGGCATGGAAGACACCCCATGCCTCATGTAGGTCTTCAGATTTTCATACATGTACATATCAGCTTAAAAGGATCGTTTCATAGTTGATAGGTCAGGGAGTGGTATGAATTGACTAGCTAATGGCTCTATGAAAAGAAGTGTCATCTGATGGTAAAAAGATGTTTTTTCTTTATTTCTCACACCAAGGATTCATGTGAGAATTTGATAAGAACTGTGAATTCAGTTACTTTTTAAAAGCAACTACCATTATTCATATAAACATCTAATAGTAACAATAACAGTTTTTTAATAGGACATTTTCAAAACACTAAGGGTATAAAATATTAGTTAGATGTACATAATTTTTATCAGTTCTTTAATTTACATGAACCATATTTTCAGTGTACGTGGGGTAGAATTTCTACTACTTAGTACCAAAATTCTTCAGTATTTTCATATAAAATATTCTTATTTTACACATATGCTTATTTTTATTTTGGTGGAGCTTTTTCATTTTTATTAATACACATTTGAAGTTCAGTTTACAATCACCTTGGGCAGTGGGTGCATGTGCGTAACTTATCTTGTTTCTTTTTTTCTAATCCTTTCGCCTCTCCTCCTCTGCCTGCTCCTCTAGCTAGCCTTTCAGTTTCGTTCTTGTTGATATTATTCGTCTCAGCACTTGTTTATGGTAGAGGATGTTTACACTCATCGAGGTTTTAGGTTCCTGTACATGGCATGTCCTTATTCTACTCATTTCCCCTTCTCTACCCCCACCTCTCACCCTTAGTCTCTTGGACCTCTGCCCAGGTGCAAGAGAGGCAGCCCTTTGTCTCCTTCTGTCCATCCTTTCTTATCCTCCTTGTTTGTTCTTTGTCTTGCTCAAGTGAGAGACACAATATGGTACTTAAGCTTCTGTGTCCGGTTTATTTCCCTCAACATTATATTTTCTAAATGCATCCATTTTCTACAAATGACTCAAATTTGCCCTTTATAGATGAGTAATATCCCATTACACATTTTTTTCTTAAATCAAAGCTTTCTCCTTTCAGTTATTGCTTGTTCTGGTTGGAAAATCTCAGGAAACTGTCACTAGAGAATTGATGGAGTGGTACCTTTCCTTTACTGATTAAATAGACATTGCACGCGAGCACCGATGTCCTGATGACGCTTTTTGTGTTCTCACGTAGGATGTGGCCGTAACTTCACTGGCTCCTCGGGTTACATTATTTCTCCAAACTTCCCCAAACAGTATGACAACAATATGAACTGCACCTACATCATAAGGGGTGGTCCCCACTCTATGGTTCTTTTGACTTTCGTGTCTCTCCATTTGGAAGGTAAGTTTGCTCTTTTTCAAGAAGTTATTTAATTTTAGTGGATGAAAGTTGTGTTTTTAAAGTGCACACCATGACGTTTTGATATTTGTATGCATTGTGGAATGACCAAATCAAGCTACTTAATATATCCATTAACTCACACTCTTTGACATTTTTGGTGGTGAGAATGTTAAAATCTATTTTCTTAGCAATTTTCAAGCAGTGAATAAATACATTCTTACTAGTTATAGTCACCAGTCACCATATTATACAATAGATTTCCTGGATTTATTCTTCCTGCAGAATAAACTGGAGTTTTGTATTCTTTGACAAAATCCTCCCATCTGGTTTCCCCCAGGGGTCGGTAACCATAGAAGCCCTGTACTTCTAAGAGCTCAGCTGTTTTGGATTTCACATGGAAGTGAGATCATGCAGTATTTATCTTTCTGAGCATGATGTCAGGTTCATCCCTGCGTTACAAATGACAGAGCTCCTTCTTTTAAGACTGAGTAGTATTCTGCTGTGTTTCCTTCATCTTCCACCCACGGACAGACACTTACATTGATTCCACGTCTTGACTCTTATGAAAAATGCTGCAGTGAGTGTGGGATGCAATGATCTCTTTAACATACTGACTTCATTTCTTTTGTATATATGCTCAGGAATGGAGTAGCTTGATTATATGGTAGTTTTAGTTCTAATTTTTGAGGGATCTCTGCACTGTTTCCACAATACTCTGCCAGTTTACATTTCTACCAACAGTGTGAAAGCATTCTCTTTCTCTACATCCTTAGCTATGGATGCTAAGTTTACTCTTAAATAAATTACAAACAATTCTTAAGAAAGTAACAAGTGAATAGAGGTAGAGACAGTCTATCATCACCACTTGAAGAAAAGAATCAACATATGTTACAGAGTAGATTTAATGTAAGTGTGAATAAAATTCCATCCAACTTTTAAAGAACATGAGCACTGCATTATAGATTCCATCTGGAAGTGAAAAATAGAATAAAAACCTAAAGGGTGTAAGTATCATATAAATTGGTTAAAGAAAATTAGTATGAAATGTGTTGTATGTCAAAATAGCTTTTACTATATTTATTCGCACTTACACTCTATACATATACATGTGAATGGATACACACACTACACACACACACACACACACACACACACACACGTACTAACCTGTGACAGAAACTGTCTTGTTGAGTCAAAATCTGTGTGCAGCAAGTACTGAGTGAGTGAATTAATAAGATTAATATTTATGCTCTGCTTTTATAAATTTGCCCTGAACTCTCCTTTCATCCCTCCGCTTTTTTTTTTTTTTTTCCAGTACTGGGACTTGAACTCATGACCTCATGCTTGCCAGGCAGGCATTGTGCCGCTGAGCTAAATCCCCAGCCCCTCCTTTTCTTCTTTATAGTAGTAAACTAGGTTTTATTTAACTTATAAAATAATACTTAACATTTTTTCTCCGATTAAAAAAATAAAGTGTAAGTATAAGCTTTCCTTCCCACTATTTCTGTGAATTTTTTTTTTTAATTTTTTTTTTTTTTTTTTCCGGTACTGGGACTCAAACTCATGACCTCACACTTGCCAGGCAGATGCTGTGCCACTGAGCTAAATCCCCAGCCTCTATTTTTTTTAATTTTAAAGAGAGAAAAAAAACAACAAAACGATACAGAATTTCAAAACAAGCTGGTAGGAAATTAACAATGATTATTATATTGCATATTGGTATCTTCAAAACAGTTGCTCAGGTTACAAGATATAAATTTTATATGTGTATATATACACACACACACACAAGATAGCTCAGATAATAGTACTACTGATTTCTAGTCATTCATTGAAAGGACAGTTAGTGCTTATATTGTTTGATCAATTTTGCATGTCATGCCCTTTTTCTTTGTGACCTTTGTCTTCCCTCTCGTGATCACTCAGGGCTGCAGCTCCTAGCCATGAGCATTTCCTCTTAAGTTCATTTCCAAATTTAGCAGTAATGTCGAACCTTTTAGAGATGAGTACCCAGACTGCAGCCCAAAGCCCATTTATTCATCACGAAGTGCCAACACTGTGATTAAACCTAAATACTGAGGTTATTGTTTAGAAAAAACCAGCCCATATAGTGACTGCTTTGTCTTAACAGAAAAGCACATAATACACTTGCCATAGCTTCGCCACCCTGCCCTAGAGCATTAGAGCTGGCAGATGGAAGAGTGGGCCATGGGTTTGGACTAGGCCCTGTCTAATCACAGACACAGCTTGGTGTTTAATGGATATCAGGACATAGAGCAGAAATCCCTGTAAAAGGGTATTTTCAATTCCTCATAGTTGTAATAATTTTTCTAAGTTAGCTACTTCTCAGCTTCACTATTTGTGAAGCCATTTCTGCATATTTAGAATGTCTTTCTCTTTGGGTTAGTCTCTCTAGGCAGAGAAAAGTTACACTTAACAAGATGGGGTCTGTAGTATTCAGTATCCAGGAGATTTAGACTGTAAAAATAAAAACGTAAAAGTGACACATTTGTACATTGATAAATTATATGAAGCTTCCCATACTTTTTCCTTTTTCTATGGCATCACCTTCCTTTCTAGAACTCTGTGGCGGTATTTTTTAGGACATAATAGGAAATGCCAACTATATATGGATACCTGTCACTGTAAACGTAGAATATGAAGTAAAATATAATTTGTTAGCATTTGCTGGCACAAAATCTCAGTAACATAAAAAGATGATCATGAAGATTGATAAATGGTTTATACAAGATGATCTGATTTCTATTTAGAGTTATACATATGAATCACATCTGTAAGTCTGTGAAGCAGTACTTTGTTATCACTGTGTGATTTATGGATGATTTTTTTTGTTATACCATTTGTTCTATTTCTTTATGGGTAAAAGTTATTTTAGTAACAGGAAAACTCATGGCTCAGATTTTACATTCCCATCTGCTTTCGTTTTACGTTAAATTAGATAAACATGTTGCAGGCCGATGCCATTCAGACACACCAGTAAATGCACTATGAGGCCACAAACGCATGGCTGAAGTCAGCAGCACATGTACTGTAAGGAGCCTTACAGCACCTGAAACATAATTCCCTGAGCTTGATTTTCTGGGTGGGAAAGGAGTAGCACACTTCAGAGGTGCACTTCCTGGCATGAGGTGCAGTGGGAGCATAGAGTTTTAAGGTGAATGTGAACATCAGGCCACCCACTTCCTTATCACATGACTTGTGCAAACTACTTTTTCTTTGTTTCTAATAACTCTTTGCTTTTATTAACAAACACACAGAAGGGTCATGCCCCACATAATGACATCTGCCGATCAAGGATGGACTGCATAGATGACAGTGGTCTCCTATTGTATCACCTGGTGGTGTTGTAGCCTTCTTAGTCTGTGTAAGTGCGCACAGATGAACGACGAAATCACTTAAGGATGTGTTTCTCAGAATGTGTCCTCATTGTTATAAAGCAGATGACTGGATATGTAAAATAGTAGCTAGGGAAGTCAATAGTGCCAGACTAATTACTACTAATCAGTAACGATTTGCTAATCTGCACCCAGTTGAAGAGTCTGATTTTTTTTTTTAACAAGGTAATATCCTTATAGAAAGGTCTGGTGACACTTCCTGTGTTACAAGTACTCAACCTTTTCACACTGCTAAGGGGATAATTCCTAGCTCTAGACTAATCGAGTTATGATGATTCCCCACAAAGGGCAATGTTAATCAAATTTATTTTATAATTAGATTTTTTCTTTCTGACCACATTGATGGTGACATTTATTGAATCCCAACAAACTGGAGTCTTCAGCTACAGCAAAAATAACCTTTCCCAGGCCCTGCTGAAGGGAGCCTGAGGGATTCATGTGCACTTCTGCTGTGATACAACTGAGAATTGTTCTCAAAGAAGGTCATGGCTTTGGGGAAGGAGCATTGGTCTTTCCAGCTGCTGTAGGAAGTAGGAAGTGGTTCTGAGAGACTCTGTTTGAGTCTTGCTGGGCCCAGCATGCCAGTGGGGTCACTGCTGACTAAGATGAAAAGGAGGGTTCTAGAACTGTTGTCTTAATGGACCATTAGCACTGAAAGATAGAACTGGCAAGGAGAAGATGGGCAGTCTCAGGCTACAGAATACTATGGGGAAGCTGCTAAATGCTGACAACTAGTTGGGAAGATTTGTCCTTTTTCTATGTGGACAAATCATCCCTTCATTGTGGCTACTACACGCTGACAACTAGTTAAGGAAGATTTGACTATTCAGACATGTATACCGATTACGCAGCTGCTCACTTGAGCTCTTCCTACCAGGAGGCTGCAGAAGCTCAGTGAACCCCTCTCCACTCACCATAAAGAAAGTTGTTTTAGAAGTGCATTATTTTATGTTGGCCTAAATTTCTCTAACTCTCTCAATACTTTTACATTTCCAATATAAACCATTTTACAAACTACAGACTGTTACCACTTGGGCTCATCTTGGAATTGGGTGTTACTAAATACTTACTTTATTTCCCCAAATATTAAACAGTCCAAAAGTGTATTTTTGTGATCTTTTAGCCATGTGGCCAAGTTGATGCCCTCAAGCTGCTAGAAAAGTTATAGGCCCTAGTTTTTACGTTGTAGATAAAGCACTTAGTAGATGGAGTTAACCCAAGGTAAGCCAAGGCCTTCTACAGCTCAATTTTTCTATCATTAAAATTGGATTATAACATTGATTCATCTTAGTGATAGCAAGGGGCTTGTTTGTTTGTTTGTTTGTTTGGTGGTGCTGGGGTCAAATCCAGGACTTCGTGCAAACAAGGCAAGTACTGTATCGCTGAGCTACGTCACCAGTCCCTGGAGATTTTTAATGAAAAAAATCTTACCTCTAAGCTAACCACGGACTCAGTGTTGCTCAGATCCAGAGCAACTGCCACATATTGGCTGCCTGGGTAGCACTTAGCCCATGTGGTGGGGGCTACGAAAGAGCTAAGTGCTTTTGTTCTTTGTCCTCTAGGGACAGTCTCAAAAATCAGTCA